GATGAGGGAGGTGTGGAGGGAGTCATCTCTGGATTTCTGGGCTAGAAGCAGAAGCAGGAGAGAAGAGGGAAAAAAAGAGAAGGTAGTCACAAAGAGAGGCTTTATGAGGGGCTGAGGGGAAGCACAGTATAGATGCTGGGAAGTGCTGGATAAAGCAGGGATAATGAAAATCTCTTCACTTCTCACTTTTGCAGGTGTTTGGTCATAAACCAGTGAGATGAAAACTTAAACGGGTCACTCAAGTTTCATTCAAATTCATGCCGAGAGGAACAGGAATGTGTGTAACAAACTTCATGGAAATCCATGTGAACGTTGTCAGGACATTTCGCTCAGAGCTAAAACTGTCAACCTCACAGTGGCAACAGAGAAAAAATCGGGGATCACCAAATTTATGAGGATATATCATCTGGGAACCATGAATGTCTGTACACATGTTTTGCTAATCATTCTGGTAGGCACTTTCTTGAATAATCAAGTTACCACAGTTCATCCTGAGGAGACCATGAGCGTCCATTCATTTCACTAAAAAATGAAAAAGTCAACCTCATGGTGGTGCTCTAATTCTAGGATAGGACTCATCTCCTCTGGACCTTGAATGTCATGGCAATCCATCAAGCAGTTGTTGAGATATTTCAGTCTGGACCTACGTGGTAGATTGACCAATTGACCCACATTGCCATCCAGAGCCATACGAGTTTACTCTGGTCTGGTGGAGAAACAGAAAAGGAAACAGAAAGAGGTCATTTGCAAAAACAAGGAGAGACAAACTGATTTTTAAGTACTGTTCTACGCAGCATGCATCATGCATCATGCATCATGAGTGCTACCATATAATCAAAGACAATTGAAAATCCCAGAGCGCTAGCACAGAGACCCTCGATCACTGTATTTGAAGGGTACTTGAAGATGACAGGGTCCTCACACAGTGCACCATGGCTTCTTCACAGGTTAATCCAGCCATGATGGTATGTGATCTGAATCACAAATAAGCTCTCAACCGAAAGGAAACGGATTTCTTATCACAGCAAGTCCAAATCTGTCCAGCTTGTTGATGAAAGGTCTATCAAATGACAGTCACACCAGGACATACAATCATCGACCAATACTCATTCCCCATTCCCTATTTCACACGACACCACGTTATAAAATGAAACAGTTCACTGCAGAGTAAGAAATTCATCCACTTGATGGAACAAGCTGCAACACATGTCTGGTAAGAAACACTTCATCTCTGCTTCTGAGGCAAAAGCAATAATAGAGGCATTAGAAAACTAGAATGGCATTCGGTGGAGTGCGTACCTCCACCAAGGTCAAACAATCCTACACGTCAGTCAGATCCAGATTGTTATCTGAATCTGCAGCCAAATTGTGCAAAGTCATTTAGCTGTCAACAACATGAATATGTGTTTTACATCAAGATCCAAACACAGTTTCCTCTGAAACTGAAGAAAGTGTCGAAAAATGCCCTATTTTCGCCATGTTTAAGAAGGTGATAAAAAATTCCTGGATCCGCCCCTTTAATTTTAACCATGATTTCATGGGTTTGTCCGTGGCCCATGCCCCATCCTTCCACCGAGTTTGGTGCAAAAACAACTCAGTACTTTTCATACGTGACATACCTGACGAACCAGTCCTGTCAACTTGTGGGGAGGAGCTTTCCATATCAGAGGAGAAGCCAGGTGCGGATTATTATCAGTATTTTGCAAGCTAAGTTAGCTAAAATAAGTCAGACTTCGAGATCGGGACCAAGGTTTGTCTAACATTAGCAAAACATTATTAGCTGTTTGATAACGTATCAACCCGAAGGCTCATGTTATCTATTACTGTTTCTGTGAAGGAATTTTCTCCTTTTTGTGTTGTTTTGTTATTTTGTAGGCCTTAGCCACACTCAAGGAGTTTAGATCATAACAACCTCACACTGTCAGACAATGGATCACTGTCTAGCTTCAATTATGACTGTAAGTGTCTAGGAGCCACAATCCTCCGTAGCTAAGGTAACCAAGGTCTTCTAGATACTGAGGCAGGGAAAAGCATAACTCAAAGAGGACTGTCCAAATCCAGTTCCAGTCAAAGATGAATGAAGTAAGCAAAGGACAAGACACATGTAATATTAATTAGGTAAGAGTATGGGACAATGACCAGGCTTAAGTGACCAGTAGAGTCTTCACACAGATAGGTTTAGACTATAGTTTAACCTTATTTGAGTAAGGTATGGGAAAGTGTTATATATATAAATATGTTACCTAGGAATATATACGCCCTGTTGGACCAGACATCTTCAGAAATTGGTGTGACACTAATCTGAGTCCCTTGCTGGCTGCGTACTGCTCATCATTTTCTCCTCGGTGCACATCAAGCTGTCAATAAATACTTCTCCCTGATGAAAAAAGGTGGAGCTGCAGGCGAGCGGCTGAGGGTGGGTGGAGGTAGAGGTGGGGGCCAACTTGCATATACTAAATACCAAAAATACTAAATGAGAAAAAAAGTGAATTACATCAAAGGCAATGAAGGAAAAAACTTCAACAATATGTAACTGTGAGGAGCAGAGATGAGGTTTTAGGGGTTTAATCAATACCAGAGAAAGCTACTTTGATTCAAGTAAAAAAGGTACTGTGATTATAAGAATGGTTATGATTAATGCACAGATAATTTTCCTGTGTAAAGTGTTATACCGTAACCATACAGACTTCTTTACAGACTCAAAGCACTAAGGAACAAAAAAGCTTTTCCAAAGTCAATAATTATGAGCTTGATTGAAAAGAGCTTTTAACCAGTCAGACTGTCTGGTGGTCACTCACCTCTGCTAAAGTGTAAAATCAGCAGAAGACTGATGAAGACTTTGACGGTAGCAACCATCTTCATGTTGGACAGGATTCACTGGGAAACATTGGAAATGTTGATTATGAAAAGAATATATAATTATATGAATATACCATGTGAAACACAGACTTAATTTAGCCACATCATCCTAAACATATGAGATACAAGGAAGAGATATCACTCAGGTATATGTAATATGGAAATGTGGACAAAAAAGCATCCAATTCAAGATTCACATGGGGGTGTGAGGAAAAGACGTGCCTTTTGAAAGGCAAAATCAGTCTGTTGAGGATTTTTTTTTTTGAAAGCTATTAGCCTTAAAAAAAAATCCAGAATCAGTGGTCCAAATGTAAACAAAAGTTAACTAAAATTCAAAACACTGAAATTTTCTATAATCACTCTTGAATTGATGAAATCTTAATTCTTAAGTTCTTAATACAGTAAAAACAGGAGGAAACAAGCCTTGATTTTGAATTATGCTGACTTGAATCTACAAATCAAACACTTTAAATATGTGATGTGATTGTAACCGGACCATGTGGAATGTAAAACGAACATTTACAGAGATTTTAACTCAGGAACATGAGAACGAGACGGATGCATGACAAGACAGTGGAGACACGAAATATGTTTGTTTTGGTCTCAGCTCACAGATTAAAATGTCAGATACTCCTCTTTCACTGCCGTCAGTCTTCTGCGATGCAACAGGTTCCTCGTGAAAAAAACAACAGCAAATGCCAATAATCCATCTCCTCTCACGAGAACTGAGGAGAAACACATCAATTCAGCAGGGAGGTTGTGCAGCCAGCATCTGCACAGGCGACGACCGTCTCCCTATCTGGGGGAATTAACAGTGACCTCTCAGTGTTGATCTTTGCTTCTTCCTTCTTCCACTGATTTCAGTCAATGTCACCTCAAAGCTGGGTGATCATGGGAATCTCTAGCACCAGAACAGTCTGGGATGTGACAGAGAGCAAGAGAGAGAGAGAGGAGAGAGGAAAGGACAGGAGTATACGTCCAAAAATAGAAGCCAAAGGGGCAATGAGAGAAGAGAAGAGCTGCAAAAGGTTTCACTCCTACACAGCTGGAGTGACAGAAGAGCAGAGAGAGAGAGAGAGAGAGAGAGAGAGGAAGAGTCCAAAAAAGATGACACATCCCAAGAGATTCATAATCTTAACACCAGTTCATACACAGGTTTCAACCGGAAAACACTGCACACGTTTCACTTTTAAATGAAACCATAGCTTGTTGCTCCCTCTAGTGGTTCAAACCACTAACAAACACAGCAGGTTGTTAATTGCCTCCTAATCCCTGTGCTCACAGTTTCATGAGATATGAGCAAAGGGAGGAAGAAGTCACGTTAAACTTGTAGATTTTTAGATATAAACCAGAAATAAGTGGATAATGTATAGTGAAAACATATAAGACTGTCAGTTTTTTTTCAATACAGTATTTGCATTTTGATTTAGGGACTGTACATAAATTATTGTGGCTGAAAAGATGGCTGAATATCTCAGAATAGCCTAGCTCCCAAATTGAACATTATAAGAATTTTCTCCTTTAAAAGACAGAGCAGCCACTTTTATTTCCACAAACACTGAAAGTGTAGCTGCGTACACTGCTCAACAATGTCTTCTGCAAAGCATTTTACTTTCTTTTGAGGATTTAATTGCAGTGACAAAACAGGACATAACACATTGAGTTGTTGCTTCCATGTGAGAGATCTCATGGGGATTTGAAAATGACGATGACGTCTGTGTTTTCGTCATGCATCAGGTGATTTGACCAGCGATCCTTTCTCCCCAAATATTTTAATAATTTCCTGCAAAGCATTTATAGCACACTTAGAGAAAACCTTTTCAGACTGAGGATGGAAAACAGAAACACTCTCCCCTCTGCCAGAGAGTGTGGCTATTATCCATATTCTGGCACTGTGAATTGGGATCTTCACATGGATGGGCGTTAAATTACAGTGCATTGCCCCTCAAGCAGAACAGTAAGTAGGGAGAATATCTGAGCTGAGCAACACATACACACACACACACACACACACACACACACACACACACACACACACACACACACACATACACACATATACACACTGCTTTTGACAATCATCCATATAATTAGGTTTGGTTTTCAAGCTTTTAATTTCAGAGCAATACAACTGCAAGGCAGAGGGCAGAGAGAGTAAAAACAGGAAGACAAACAGTGAAATCAGTAAAAATGAGAAAAGGAAAATAATTTCTATTGTGTAGTCATGCTACCTGTTGTTGCTGTTCTATAGCCAAGATGTGAGCGAACGACGACCGAATGTGTGCTTATATTTCACTTTTAGAAAACAAGAAACCGATACAGGGTTTTAATAATTCAAAAAAAGAAAGCATGTTTGAGTAAAAAAACAGCAGAATTGAGATATGAGGATCTTTGAAGAATTTGACATTTTAAAAACTGCATGACTGATTTTAAATTATGCAAAGGTGTTACGCAACTGTGATGACTTTTTGACAATCCATCTCCAAACTCTATAATCCAACCAGAATCCCATCTATCAGTCAGCGTTTTATAATTACTATGACATAACACAGTTGTCCTGTTTGTGTGGAATAACATCTACTCTCATTATTATGTATGTGGTGCATTGCGACGACTCTGTGGATGTCTGTGGAGATGCGTGGGTGTACTGAAAGCTGTTTGTTGTTGAACTTTGATCCGAGCTGAGCTTACCTTTGTGGGCACAGCCATTTGCAGCTGACCACTGCTTTGAAAGGACAAAATACAAAGTAGCCTTCTAGTGTATCTGAATTTCCAGAACTAACCTCAGATCAGACCAGATAAACAGGCCAGACACTGTTTGCTTGGTGAAATATCAGTATGCAGATACACAGTTTAAGTCTCTGAAACGTAGCAACTTATTGTTAATAACATTTGCATTATAGCTAAGTTTAGCGGGAGTTTCGGATACTGTGCTAACCAACGGAAACGCACATCACAAGATCCTTGTTTTATCTGCTATAATGTGAATACACTATAATAGACTACAGCCATGCTAGCAGTTCTGTAAGGCTGTACTAGCAGTGCTTGTGCAGTGCAGTGACATGCTAATGCCAGCATGCTATCATGCTTACAATGACAATGCTAACATGTTAATGTTTAGCAGGTATAATATCTAGCATCTTAGTTTCGCGTGTTACCTTTCTAACGTTCGCTAATAGGCACAAAACACAAAGTACATCAGAAGGTGATGAGAATGTCATAGTTTTGCATAGTTATTAGTCATAAACCAAAGTATGGGCCAATTAAAAATCTGACCTAATGATGGCGCAAGAGGAATATTTAAAAACAGAATTTTATGGCAAGCTGATAAGATTCTAGACCAACGAGGTGGACCGACACACAGACCAACGTCACCAGCCCTAAGTCCAGATTTGGCATGGCTAAAAACTAGCATGACGTAGCTAGGGTGATAGCTAGCATGAACAGAAACCGCCACTGTGGCAGAACACATAAGGAGTGCCACCTTCTGGAAATTGAAGATAACCATCACCACTTTAAAAACAAACACATTTATTGGACAAAACCACATCATGTGTATTAAAGCTACGATGTCTTTAAACCAGCACTGCTCACATTAGCTCACAGTCTTCTTCTGTGCGTTGGCCTCTCACTGTCACATTTGGAAGTTTCTTGGTGCAGTACTACCAAGCATTTCAATTGTCTATCGCCATCTGAAGTATGCAGAATTATGTATTGTCACCCTTGTGTCCTCATGAGGCTCGAGATTACACAAAATGCCAACCCGCCCATAAAAAACATTGCTGTATAGGGCCACTAGTGGTCAAAAGGTGACTTTAAATTCTCAGCTGAACCTCTGTAACTCAACAGAAGCTGCTGTTTAAACATTATGCAAATGCATGGTTTGCATTTTTCACTGATGACATCAACAAAATAATGTCAGTGACGAACATCCGAGACAAAGTCAGGCAGTGAGGGAGATGATGAGGAAGAGAAAGGGAAAAATACTGACTTGTGCCACAGATAAAACACACATATAATCTTGTTTAAAAATACAAAACTGCATTCTCACAGCTAGTCATGATCACCTTTAAGTAGAAACACAGTTATACTTGGACAAACTTAACACTTTGGCCTGAGCGGGTGTGAAACTCATGAAACCATCTTGTTGCAGTTAAATACAGTTAATTTATATTCTAGATACAAAGCAAACCTAATTTGAATGATCTTATAGAAAGCATGAATGAAGTAGCTGTGCCATGACAAGTACAGCTAGATAAAGTAATTAGCATTTCATTTAAAAACAAAATCCTTTAAAAAAGGATTTTTGCCTTTTAAATGAAACAGATGCTGTTTTTCTCACATCCAAAGAACAATAGCATCTGCTGTGTGTTCTGCTCCAACAAAAGCATCAAAACAAAACCAAGACCTTCAAAATGTTCAGGCAATCTGTTATTCACAAGTGACGGTATTGAATTCTAACATGTCATTTTGAAGGAAGAAATCAAATTCTTTCATGAATGTCTTGTGTGTTAAATACGTTGCTGTGAACTTGACAAATCAATTTTAGTTAATTTATAAAAACTTCTCTGTTGCAGGTGTCACTTTTTCTTCCAAACACAAAAACCATTTTATCAAAAGGTTTTCAAAATAAAAGACTTTTTGTGATGATGGAACAAATTTTGACTCAATTTCTGTTATAAAAATAAAGTAAATTCATGGTTTGCAAATCTTCTCGTTTTACATTTTTAAATCCTGAACTGTTAAACTGTTTCCTCTGACGAAATGCATTTGTGAAGGCAGAGGGAGAGGATGCAACTCTAAGTTACAACATATTAATTATTCAACAAAGTAATCTCCACACTCCTCTCTCTGTCTCCTTCCAGTCTTTTGGTTCAGACCCATCCCTTTCCTCCCTCATTCAGTCGTTGTCTCTGTCTCTAGGCTTAAGCGAAGAGCATCCTGAACATCCACCGAGTCCTTTCTCCTTCACATTGTAATCGAAGCGAGGCAGAACCAGGACGCTGCCCTCCGGTTCGCTTTTAGAGGCGGCGTTGGTCGCTTCGCTCAAGGCTCTTTCCTCCTCCACAGTAATGATATTTTTCACTAAACACGTGATGGCTGCATCGATGTTGGTGTTGTCCTGGAGAGAGAGGTTGAAGGTAAAGGGTTAGAGGGGGATGATAAAGGTAGAGAGAGAGAAACAAGGGAGATGGAGGAAGAGGAGATGTCACAAAGATCAAGTCCACACTTCAGAGGCAGAAAGGGAAGATACAGTGAAAGCAGAGATTGAGCACAAAAAAAAAGGCTTTTCACTGCAAACTATAAAAAACTGTCCTTCCAGCTTGCAGCTTTCAAATATAGATGAATTGAATAAGTAGATAAATAAAATCTAATCAACCAAACAGAGCAGATGTACCACAATACAATCCCTTGTCCACAGATCTTTTTAACTTGTTGGCAGCTACAAATGGCAACCAGAGGGAGGCGAATGAACTTTGAAGTCCAAAGTAATATGAATAAATGACATTTAACTGGACACTTGGCCTAAATTAGTTCTTAGACGTCCTTTACTGAGTCCAACTTAATTCAGGATGAAGTTTTGTTTTTATTCTTTTATTGTATGTGTAAATGTGGCACCTCCTGTGTTCCAAAAAGATGAACATACGAGCAGCAAGTCCTTTAAGTTAAAAGTAAAACGCAGACACTGATGGAGCCAGAGAAGAGTGAAGGTGTACAGAAAGGAGAGAAAGAGAGACCAGAGTAAATATAGAAAAATAAAGAACAACTAATTGAATTTTCAGAGGAGCGTGTGAGAAATAAGGCTAATAAGAAATGGGCAGAGAAAATGTGCTGTCAGATATGTTTGCAGAGGAAAATAAGAGGAGACAAGAGCGAGGGTGACAGGAACACAGAGAGTTCACTGTTTAAAACAATATTTGCGTTCCACATAAGTGATTTTTGAAGACACACAGAACAAAATCAAAATCAGGTCTCACCTTGGCAGAGGTTTCGTACCAGCCGACAAATCCGTACTCCCTGGAAAAGTTCTCCAGTTTGGGCAGTTTGGGGCACAGACCGTGACGACGCTGGTCACACTTATTGGCCAATAGAACGGCGGGAACCGGTCTCCCATTGCTCAGAGCGACCTGACAGAACGAGAGGGAAGATAGATGAGACAATGCTGTTCCGTTGCAAAGGCCCCCTATGGATGAGGCCAAGAAATGCAGCTTTCACTATCCAATAATCCACTGCGTGCTGGTCAGTCGTTTAATGGAACGTTTGGATAACCTCATTGAATCATAAAGATGAGAAATATCCCATGACCACGATGTATTTACCAGGTGCAAGTGACGTCTTAATCAGCCGTCAAGGATATGGCTCTTCATTGGTTGCTCTTCATGCTCCTCTCTTTTGTGGCATCCCCCAGGGATCTATTCGCAGTCACCTTTTTATTTACTATTGACTTCTGATTCTCTGGCAGGGTCGGACTAATGGTTCCTAAATCCTGACTTGTCACTAAAAGTGACAGGCCTTCAGCTGTAAAATTCCTGATGGAGGATATCAGGCAGGCAAACTCAGTGTCCTCTTTTAAATCTCCTCTTAAAACTTTATTTTATCTAATGGCTTTTTCTTAACTAGTATATTTTCGGTAATTGATTAAATTATTTATCTTGATTTAGATTTATGTCTCTGATTTTACTACTTCAATTCTTTGTTTTTAATATAAAGCACCTTGTTTTGAAAGGTGCTATATGAATAATGTTATTATCATTATCAACCTAGCACAATGATTGCTAGTTGTTTATTGTATTTTTAAAATAACCTGTAAATTGTACTGGGAACCCAGGTATCATTATTGGCTATTAGAAGGTAGCTTCTTGATGATAAACATTGAAATTTTTGACTTTATGAGTCGATGAGGAGCAATTGAATGCACCATTAGTCGTGTTCTCAGTGAGGCTGAAGTATTGTCTTTGAGGGAGAGGAGCAGATTCCCTCTAAAAGCATCATGGGCTGGATGCTTCTACCCCCTAAACCCAAACAGGACCCCTGCTCTTATATCTCTTGATGGCTCCTTTTTGTGTCTGTACTACAGTTGTTGCTGCATCACAGTCTTTTGACTGTTGTTGTCGTTGTACGATTTGCAGTCTTGATCATTTGAAATATTGCTGCATATGCAATTTGTTGCATAAGAAAAAACAACTGTATAAAATCCTATAAGAGAAAAAAAAAACATCTAAACAATGCACAAGCTAACTTAACAACCTGGAGTGAAGCAAGTTGACACTTGGTCTGATCAGGTTATTAAAAGACCTTCTGGGTAATGTGGCAAGTCATGACTGAAGCAGAAGTAGACCATACAAGTGGAAGCAAAATGCCGACACAAAAAACTTTGAGAAGGCAGACAGCATTAGAGGTTAAAGTAATATTCCAGCAAAGTTTTATGACTAAAAACTCTCACTCCTTGCAGCTTTCGTAGGTAGTTTTAAAGTGTAATGTTGCTTCAATGATACAGGCTTGCTGTAAAATTAATTAGAGAGTGGATATTCTCTTCACCTAAAATTAAAACAATTACGCTTGCAATATATTTGGTCTTTAAACTATCATTCACTTCTTTCTCTAGTCTCTTTCTACCTCGTTCCTTCCCTCTTTCCTTCTCTTGTCTTGTTTTAATCTTTGCTCCCTCCAACAGATTTACCTTTGAGTCAAGGTCTCCTTTCCACTTGAGGATGGCCTGAAACGTGGATAGTCTGGTCATGTCGAAGACAACAAGGGCCCCCACGGCCTCTCTGTAGTACACGCGGGTCATGTTGCCGTAGCGTTCCTGCCCTGAAGAAAACAGAAGAGATGACAGTGTTAATAGAGTTTCCAGGAGCTGAGTTACTCCTGCACAGGGCTTTCCTTACTTAGACATGATCAAGAGAAAGTCGAATTGCAAAGCCACGAATGTGATCAGAAGTAAGTGACTTCAACCATTTTACAGACAATTTTTTTCTAAAGTCACGTGACTTTGTTGCTGCGCTGCAACACCAGAGCCCTTCATAAAACTTAATAAGATACCTGAGAATATTCTTAGCTCGAAGCTAAACTTGATTAGTACAGACCAACTTAAAATAGAGACATGGGAAACTTCTTCTAAACTGCAGTGAGTCAGTCACACTGTCCTGCCCTCAAAGTGACTTCATTAAGAGATTTATATTGCAGACATGAACTCTTCATTTGCAGCATAGTTTACCTTCGAAGCTGAGGGTTTAAATCTGCAGCTAAAGATTATTTAATTGATTTATCTGCCTATTGTTTCCTCAGTTTAAACAAGTAATCATTTTGTCTATAAAATGTCAGAAAACAGTGAAAAATTCTTATTATAAGAAGTTTTAATCCTGTGTTTAACATGTAATTCGGCATGTTTTTTGAAGGGAAACTATCACTGTTGCTGTCTTTCACACTGCTGCCTTGCATCCTTATTACAGTTACATATTATAATCTGTGAAACACGTATTTAGCTAACGAGTAGACAGATTTCATCATCAGTCATATGAGCACACAGGCATGGGGCAGAAAATAACCCAAAATGACTGAGGGCTTACGAGGAGATCAACATGAAAAGTTGTTTTTGTGCCTAAAACTACACAAATCGCAAAAGTAATAAGAAGACAGAGTTCATTATCTCAAGAGGGAAACCTGCCTGTTAGCTCAGAGAGCAGAATTAGCTGTTAGCTCCGGGGATGAGGTCAGAGCTCTGAAATTAATGAAGGCTGTGGGTGACTTTACACCAAAACTGCAGGAACAAACGCCTGTTTTAAGGTCAGACGGCTCACACTGTGACTGTGTGTTTGAGGAAGTTTAATTGCTAATGCTAAGGCACCGTGTCTGACACGTTTAGAGTTTCAGTTTGGGAAACAGTGACATCCGACAGATGAGCAGCCGATGGCTTTGGATGGAAAATGTGTCACGTTATGTTTAGAATTTTCCAGGAAAATTACAAACAAGCGTGCAGAGACTCTTCTCATGATTCTCTATGAGCTTTATTTCTACCCCAATGCTGTGCATGCATTCTAACTGATTGGTAAATGAGAAACAGTAATGATACTAGTGTAATGACTGAGTCAGAAAATCTACCAGAATGCAGAAAAGAGTTGTAAGTTAAAATTTTGTTGTATGCATTCAGGAAAATACATCTTTTGTTGCATGTAAGTACATGTGTATGCATGACCGTGTGTGTGTGTGTGTGTGTGTGTTTGTGTGTGTGTAACTGAATATATGAATAAGTCTCTATCCTGGAAGCTAAGTTCCTCCACATGATCCTAATATAGTGGTGAATCAGCAAGAGAACATCTGATACACACACACACACACACACATACACACACACGTATGTACACACACACACACACACACACACACACACACACACACACACTGCACATGACCTACAAACAGCTGATACAAAAAACTAACATGCTCAAACACTGAACACACACAAAGGTCTGAGAGCTGTCTCCTAACAGCAGATACCATCTTTGTCTTTCACTCGCCAAGAGTGAGTGTGAGACTCTCTAAACAACATCTGATCAGTGCTAACAGTATAAGATCAAAAGTTCAAGACCAATAGTGACCAAGGTTTTGGTCAACTTCTGTACTAACTTTCTGGAGAGAGCATCGCTCTAAGGGCTTAGACAAAGTACTAAAATAAAAGCAACACACAGCTTCATTAGTTCTTCAAATACTGTTTTGCTAACTCCGAGGTTGACGGTATGAACGCTCCACAATTATTCTGTAAAGATGCTGTTTATAGCAAAAGACCAGCCCAGTGATCGCAGAAACCAACCTAGAAGTTAGCCTTGCTTCAGGCTAAATTGCTGGATTTCAAATGGAAGTTTTGCATTAGATCTTAAAGACAATTAGCTTGTAGCAAGTAAAGACGTACAGCATGCATTGCTAGCCATTTAAGCCCTAAGTGAAGCTAACTTTAAGGTTGGGCTACAAAACAATGTCATAACTTGACTTTGATTGATGTTTTTGTCTTGTTTTAGTGAGGGAATTTAAGTATTTGTAAAGTACTCTGTGATGTATGGTGTTGAAAATTTTAATCAAAATCAACGGTACTTGCTAATTGCATCTTGTCAACTTGTGTTGACTGTTATGTGTGGGGGGCGTACTGGATGAGGGAGCAGAAACTTCGATTCATCCAGATAAACACTCAATCATACACACAAAACACTGATGCAATTACCGCTTTCACACACTAGCATAGATAATCTGCCAATTCTGTGTGTGTGTGTGTGTGTGTGTGTGTGTGTGTGTGTGTGTGTGTGTGTGTGTGTGTGTGCATGTCTAAAGTCTAACGGCCTGAGCCGGACTTCTTCATGTAAATGACGGCGCTTATCAGCTGTCGAGTTGCTCAACAGCCACAGGCTCAATGAGAAGAGGTGGAAGATAAACTACAACATACTTTAATGTGTGTGTGTGTGAGAGAGACGGCTGAGGGACGAGGAAGAGAAGTACTTCCAAAGGTATGTGCAATCAAATGATGTGCAAGTAGAGAGACATGATGGTTGAAAAGCTGAAAGCTGAAAACAAAGAGCTGTTTTTGTTATAACGGCTAATCTGGAAGGCTGTGGGGTGTATAGAGGGTAACTTCAACATCTCCTCTGCAGAAATGGAGGTTAACCACATTTTCGAGGCGGTGACTTGCCATATCATGCATCATCATGGTTGGATGTGTCAACAAGATGTGAAACTGAGGAACTGCAGATTACTCTATATACTTTTAGGGTTTTGCATCTTGGTTGGTTGATTTAAGATATCTCTAAATACATTCTGACTGCAAAAGCAAACCAATTATTACCAAACCAAAATATTTGCAGTATATTTGTAGTTGTATGCAGAGCTATGTGTTTATTCATGTATTTGTCAACAATGTATTTGCACCTGTGGACACCCAAAAAATGATGTATAAGCAGATAATGACTGACAATACAATAAAAGAGTTGTAATAATACAAAATATGCTTTATAATATAAAGCCTATGTTACACATATGAAACCATGAACATTATGACAAAAATCTACAACATATTCTACAAATAGCAGCTGATCATATCTGACTTTCTTGAATTATGTAAGTCTAGTCTTGGTACTATTTAAGATGAGCCTAACCCATGTCTGCAGACCAGTTTCCACGTTATTGTTTTACCTGGATAAGCAGTGAGCTTTACAGTGTGACATCATTGTCACCTGAGCAAGTGAAGTGGTATTTGACCATGCAAATAAGCTGCTCTTTAAACACCGGTGGTTTATATAACTACTCCCGAGAGGTGTAACAGCTCATTCATATTTCATCTCCCACCACCCACACCCACACCCACACCCACACACACACCACTTTTTTGTACGCACCGGCAATGTCCCACAGCTGCAGCCGCACCACCGTCTTGTGATCCCAGTTGAGCACTTTGAGGGCGAAGTCGACTCCGATGGTGGCTCGGTAATGCTGAGAGAAGACCTGGTGCACGTAGCGCTTTATGATGGACGTCTTGCCGACTCCGAGATCACCGATGACCAAAACTTTGAGCAGGCGCTCGTGCTGCATCACTGCTCCGGTTGAGCGCGCGCGTTAAATGGCTGGCACAGTGAGGTCTCCAATTATGGATTCCGCATGAAAAAAAGTTACAAAATGCAGAGGGTTTGGCCAGTGACGGTTGGTCTGAAGTCATGTATGGAGGCGAATAATTAAAATCCTAAGCAATACTTTTAATTTTTGCCACTTTAAGAACAAATAAAAGCTCTTAAGTCCTTATCTTTGAGATAATGTCAGCGCAAAATAAGATTTCAAAGCAAATTTTACAACTAAATACGCACTATAAACGCCAATATTAATAATAAAAGAAGCAAAAGTTATGTCAAAAATAAATAATAGAAGCTCAATACGATTTTAGTAATGTAAACATAGAAAAAAAACCCACTAAAAACTCAGTCTGCACAGGTTGTATCATCATCGTTACCGTCTTCATGAAAAAACTTGACGTCTGCGAGTTTAAAAAAAAAAAGAGAGAGAACTTTCGGATTGTAAAACGCTGGAGTTACTGAGGCAAAGCAGATAAACAATCAACAACGAAGAAAAAAAAACAACAAACCAACGACAAAGTGTTGTAATGTGTTTAGCCTACGGTTTTTGTGCTCATCTCCCCCCACTGCCATGTCATCACTGCGGCGACAAGGAGGCTGACAGTCCCTGCTGGAGCTGCCGGTGTGGATGACCACGCCCCCGTACTGTCCGTGTCAGTGTCTCTCCGTCTGTTGTCGTCACAGGCTGCGTTTAGGGACAAATTTCAAACTAAAGACTAGTTACCTGGGGCCAAAGCGCAAAGAAAAACTTTTGGCTCAGAGGTTAAGCTAGGGTTAGAGTTTAGGTAAGGCTATCCACAATGAATGGAAGTCACTGCAATGTCTTAACAAGGACAGCTGTCTCAGCATTAGTGAATCATGTGGCTGCAACTCAACACAGCACACAATGGAAAAAAAAGTTACATGAACTTTTTGTGTTTTTATCCAGTGTCATGCTTCAGTTTAATGAACAATAACTTGTGTGTGATACATGCTATTTATTGTTTATTCATGCATTTTATATAATCTTATTTTATCGTATTGTTTTTTGTTTTATTTTCTTGTTTTGTGAGAATAAGTGTGTTGTTATCATTTTTCTTTTTAATCTAATTTGTTGTATTTTATTATTCTATTACTTCCACGTGCTTCTTTAGTCTTGCTGTTAATTTTAATGTTATTATTTCTGTGCTCATATTCATTTGCACTTTGAATTCTCTTGTGTATGAAATGTGTTATATAAATAAACCTTTCATGCATTGACATGTGAGGCACAGAGGGTGGACACAATAACAGAAACAACATAACAGTGAATCTCTTAAAGAACTGTCATGCCCTTTTTTGTCTGTGCAGTTTTCTTCCTCGTGATTTGTATTTGTCACATTATATTAATTTTACTGTTTCCTCCTGGAGCAAGATACATGAAGACGTGAAATGATGAAACAGATGTCAAACAAGACATGTGCGATGCATATAATTTTCTCCAACCACAGAAAATAAACTGTGCCTGCAAAGTTTTTATGTTTCATTAGACTGCACAGATACGATAGCCTAAATACATTAAGTGAAATAAAAGTACAGCTTTCCCTTTAATAAATGACATTTCCAGCAGGAGAATAAACCATGTTTCAAAGCCTCATTATGGTTCATGGAGGACAAGAGTGACTCAAGTTTACTGCAGTGACTCTGCAGCTTGCTGACATCAACCCTAAACAGAAAAAGAAAAATTATTCTCAAAGACTGGATGACTGAAATTCACATTGTTTCCAAAAATGGTGACAAGAACTGATTTCTGTTCTACATCAGGAAAAACAACTTGGAACGCCATGTCCTGTCCACATGACAAAAATCTTGTGCACTTCTAATACAGGCAGTTTGTTGCTTGGTATCACACATGTCCCTGAGTTTCAGAGTCAGCTGATGTTAAAAACTCAAGAATAGAAACAATCATCAAAAAATTTGAAAGATAAACATGCTCTCTCTTTTCTCAGCTACAAACATTCTTCCAAATCCATGTGAGACTCAGAAAACATCTAACAAATTCATTTTGAAGCTCTGCAGTCACTTGAAGTGGAATAATTTTCCAGCTTCAAAAAAAAAAAAAACCCCAAAAACACCACACATGTAGCCTCTTTAAATGTCAACTCCTACAACCTAAAAATAATCTGAATTCTTCTCATCTGTAGATCTAAATCTTCATAAGCTAAAGCAAAAAATAAAATCTGCCCTGCTCATCTTTATGAACTGGCTTCAGAAAATGTCGAAAACACAGCACATAAATACACACAAACAAGTTCCTGCTTTATTGCATGTGTAAAAACCACACCTCCCACATTGCAGCGCGTCTATTTCCGTGTATGCGCACTGATACATGCGCACATGGCCAGCGCAGTGTGTGTGTGTGTGTGTGTGTAGGTGCAGCTTCCCTCTTGTTGCACTATTTGTGCAGGATGACTCTTGAAATAAACATCACAGAACAAAGAACAAACGCTAGTATTAATACAAATCATTATAATGTTACAGAGTTTTTTTATCTACTCAGTAGTGATTTTATAGCTGGACAGGTTTTGACTTTTGCTTTTTCATCTTGTATACGACCTATTTACTTACTTAAAGACACTGAAATATATCCATGTATCTTGTCACTTGCAGATCATGTCCCCAGCAGATATATATATGTCTTATTCCACCTTTTTTGGCCCTTTATTGGCCGTAGCTGTTGTTCTTCAGCGTTGCGCCTCTGCACGGTCCTTTACGGTAGTGGTACTGATGCGGGATGAGTCAGGCTATATGATGCTGCTGCTACCGCTGCCATTTCATCAGCAGCGCAAACCTACAAACACACAGCCAGCACAGACATGATACCGCGGGATTCCCCTCTGCCAGCGAGTTTCCTGCCCTCATAAACAACCCGCGCGATCGAAAGAGAGAACCGAGCCTCGGTCGCGGTTTTCTATTCGTGGCTCGTCGGGGCTGAAAGCGCATGATCCGGTTTTTTCTTGCACCTGCTTCGGGGGTGCGTTTTTCCTCTCAGCAGCTCTCGATCGGGCCTGACATTAACAAGGAAATCAGCCCTGACTCCAGGGGCCTGCTGCAGCACCAGCCTCTGTCACCGGGCTCCAAGACAAACATCGACTCCCGGAGGCTTTTAGGTCGCTGTTTCGGTTGTTTCGCTGCGTCCTGAGGATCGATCCAGCCAGAATTGTCGGTGCCATGGAGCCCGCATCAGCCTGGTCCTGAACAGCGTGAGGAGAGCAACCATTCTGGCCTAAAGTCCACTCCACTCCTGCCCCGAGTAGGCTTCTTTTATTTGTACCATCTGCATTCTGTATTTCTGCTATTTATCATGTCATGAAGCCTAAACGTGGTTAAACGCTCCCTTAAGAAAACACGACAGGCCTTTTTCTTCTGTCGTGATGTGCACTGGCCTATTAATAGCGTGCAATAAAAACAATCTGCTGTGAGTCCTCTTATGAGTGGGCCTATAATAAGCCATTCAAATCTTTATTGCAATCTTTAACGTTTTGAAAAGCCCTATATGTAGCCCATGAACATTGTTGCCTTGAGCCTAATGAAACCACATGCTAATAGAATAATTCACAGTATAATGCCATTAAAAAGTCATATTACAATTGTTACTTCTCAATGTAACAGTGATCGGCCACTACAAGAACTCAAAGTCCAGCTACCTCCAAACTGCCCCTAACGCATCCGGAGTGAGAGCCCATAAGGCTGCTATTCACCGGGGACTCGGCCACTAATGTTTGCATACCGACCGGCCTACGCAACCCGACTCCACAGAGACAAGCAGGGGGTGATGGGAGGCTGCATGTGTCTGGCTCCCTGCCCGCCTGATGGCCTGGTCACTGATGGCAGTATAGTGTGAAGATAAGGGGCACAGATAGAGCCTAGAAAATCTCTCAAGTGGTGACGCTTCTCTTCCCTTTTGACACAAAACTCGACTTGCACATTTAAAAAAAAAAAAAAAAAGTGATGAAATACAGAAATCACCATAAAGCATTGGACCAAATAGGGAATACTGCATGTTTTATGTCATATTGGCTGTGCACGAACAAAGACAAAGACATGTACAGTGACCGACATAGTGACATTACTTAAGGTTTTTGGTTAGACTCCCTGTTAGACCAAACTCCAATAAAAGAAATTCAAACAGACTTATTTGGGATATGGGACATCCAGTCCTGACGATAAGGTGCTGTCAACACAACCACAGATTTAAAGCAGATGCAAATCCGCTGAATCAAACCACAGCTGAGGTCTCTGAGACGGCAAACACAACTGCTGAGTCGTTTTCTGTTGTCTGAAATACGAACACCAGGTAAAAGTTAAGAATCTAAAATAAAAAACACATGTTTTTAAAGCTGTTTAATACGTCTGATGTTCAGTTAAATGTTAAGACCAGCATATGAGCATGTAATCAATATTTATAGCTTTCCTTTGCTGTATTGAAGATCAATTCCACTGGTTTGACTCCTCAAGGTTATTTATTACATGCAAATTCACCTCAGTTGTAATAACAGAAATTATAATGGTGTTTTGAGAGTTAATTTTTTTGTTAGTTGAAATGAAGTAAATAAACATGCTCTGTGCTAAAAGCCAATGCCAGAGCCTTTACATAAGTACTTAAGTATTATGAGCAAAATATACTTGAAATACTAGTACAAATTAGGCAGAATGAGTACATTCAGATTGATACTTTGACATTTAAGTAATATATTAGGCTACTGTATCATTGATTGAGGTACAGCTAGCCAAAGATTTGTCTGTAACAAATCAACATCTTTTAAAGGCTGATCACATGTTTTGTAGGTAAAGTCTTAATCTGCAAAGTAACTATATAGTTCTCAGATAAATGTAGTGGAGTAAAAAGTACAATATTTCCTCCTGAAATGTAGGAAGTAGCAAGAAATGGAAATAGTGTGGAAACTGGTGCTAAATTGCACCTAAGAAGAGAAATTAAGTAAATGTACTTAGTTACTTACTTCCACTGGCACTCAGAGTTATGTCACAGAAAAGAAAGGCAGAGAAATGCTAAGTAAGAAAAGTGTTCTCCTGATATGTAAAACAAGCATTTAAGGTGTCATACTATGGCTCTCATTATGTGAAAGGTCACACATTCAGATGCCAAAGCCTCATATCAAAAAGGGCATTACAGCCAATAATCCAAACAGCAGGCTTATTAAAACATCAATTGATGCCATCAAGTGACTGGAAAAGCATAAGAGGATTTTCTCTTATATCTCGTGGTTTTAACTGAAGCACGCACTGAACACAATGAAGACAGTTATGTGTGTGTGGGTGTGTGTGTGTGGGTGGTTGGGGAAGTGAATGTGTGGGCAAAAAGCCAATTAAAGGTTATAGTTCAGTGATTGACTCAAAACAGAATTAGTCGAGGAATATGTATTGTTTTAATATTTTTTTGTCCCCTGTGACTTCTCTCAGTGTTTGCATTAAGCAGCTGTAGTGAAAGACTGAAGTGATTCATGGTGGATTTTTTATTTTCTTTTTTTTTTTTTTTACAAATAATACCATAAATGTCCCAAAGATAAATACAGACTGAGGCATAGCATATAGCATAGGCTATAAAGTTATTACTGCAAGACCAAAGACCATACCAATCTGAATGTGTTAGGAATATTATAGAAGGGTAAAGACCACTTCTAACAGCCCTGAAGGCAAAGTAGCTGCAGTACATTTACTCAATTACTGTCCCTATGTACACTTTTAATCTACTTTTAGCATTCTTGACTTGCATATTTCCATTTTATGCTACTTACTTGTGTGCTTTATGCGTCTGCTTCTCTAAACTGACTCCACTGCGTTTATTTGACAGCTTTAGTTGCTAGTTACTTCACTGATTACGATTTTCACTTTGTAAAATATGACGCTTTGCTTTAGAGCAGAAAACATGATTTACCAACATGGTCGACAGCAGCAGCAGAGGTTGCTGGAAGCGGTTAGCATCAGACTGCTTCAATTTTTTGACAAAAATAGCACTCTTTCTCAGAGTCACAACTCACTCAAATTTGAACCCACATACATGATGCTCACATTTTTAGATTCAGTGCGACTTACACTTACTTACACAGGATATCACGTTGAGAGTCATTGTGAATAAACGTCCATAAATCCACTTAGTAATCATAGGACAAAAGACGCTCCTTACTTTGCTGAGAATCATCGTGTTTTTAAGTTTTCTTCAGTATCTAACTAATACAGAGATAGTTGTCGATACGTCCGTGGAATAACTGCAAACAGGAAGTGCTGATAGTTAATTCGGTTTACTATAACACCGATTTTCCAAAATGTAAACAACAGCCAACCAACCGAATCCATGACGGCTTTATACTTCCTTTTCAAACCCCTAAAGCATCATGGGAACTGTAGTTCCAAAACTTTGAGCACGGTAGCAGAATGTTATGATGAAAGTTGGCTAATTATATCACAATAAAGCTCTTACTGAGTAAGCTACCACATACATCAACTATAATCCCTGTACAAATCAAATCCCTTGTCAAACATTAGCCTATATAAATACTTTTAAACGACCTAGGAGTAATCTAATGTTGTTGCTCTATCCTTCCTCTCTCCCTCTCTCGTGCACGCACGCACGCGCCCCTCAAACCTCTCACACCGCAGACCAAACAGACCGACAGACCGACCCACAGACCGGCAGAGCGACAGACAGGCACAGCCAAAGTCATGGAGGCGATATGGCTCTATCAGTTCCGGCTGATCGTCATCGGGGACTCCACGGTGGGCAAGTCGTGTCTGATACGGCGGTTCACGGAGGGCCGCTTCGCCCAGGTGTCGGACCCCACCGTCGGCGTGGACTTCTTCTCCCGGCTGGTGGAGATCGAGCCCGGGAAGCGGATCAAGCTGCAGATCTGGGACACCGCGGGTCAGGAGCGCTTTAGGTGAGAACAGATGAGTGCATGAGAGAGTTAGGCTATATTCCTATAATATTACCATAATAATTCTGCGGAGCTTTACAGTGAGCATTTGGTGAAGTAGTCTGTAGCCTGTGGTGTTTTTCGTCTCCTGAATTTTTATAGCTTTATTGGGAATATTATGTGTGCAGTTTATTTTGATTTCCTGGAGATAACGTGCCACTAGTGCCCTACAATGTGCCTCTATAGTGCTAAATTGTGAGGTAATACATCCTCATTTATGGTATTTATTTGTCATGTAGGTGAAGTATTTAGATCTGCAAGTAAAAGCAGCAAAACTGTGAAAATACTCTACAAGTAAAAACAATTCTAACTCAAAGTGTATTAGTTCAGTGCCCAGTCAGAGTAGTTTATTCTACAGAAGGCATCATATTCATTGAGATGATGGTATGTTTTGTTTGTGAGACATGAATCTTATAATATTTCAATATAGTGACACTGTGAGAGGCATCAAGACAAAGAAGCGTTTTATTTACATGCATCGGAGTTGAACGAGTTTTCCGTTGCAAACTTTTCAAATCATCATTAAAGCATCACCGTGTACTTCTGTTCTGAAACAATATGACAACAACAACAATAGGAGGTAACGAGCTGTACTGTATGTTCCTGCAAAAGCAGTTGATCTGGAGTTTAAACAGGCAGAGGAACGGCATGAACAGCTCCCTGACAAATAAAAGAGAAACTCAAGTTTCGTCAGCTCAAAAATGTAAGGGAAACACGTCACATTATAAGCCTCGTGATGCTCGACAGACAGGTGATCTCTGGGAAATGCACCACAGATGTCCCCAAAGAAAACAAAGAATTTGGGGTCTACCACTTCAATTTTGATTCATTTGAAAACTAAAAGAGTAATCGATGGTTAATTCTTTCCCACTACCTATCTTATCGTAATATTTGATTGGAAAAGAGACCAGCTGCTCTCACAAAAACTGAGAAATGGATAGACTTCCTTTAGTGTAGCTGACCTCTGACCTCTTTGTTGGGGGTTGGAGAGTGAGAAAATCTAATTTTCTCATAGAGATCAATAAAGCATCAAATTATTACAAGATTAGAAAGATTGGATATCTGATTAACAGCTGCCACCAGGCAGAAATGTCATTTTAGTACAATTCTAAATGTAGACAAGCTTGTAAAATACCAAACAAAATGTAATAATTGTCTGTGTTTAAAGGCAAGTGCCCAGAAATTAAGCACATAGCCAGGAGGTCTTAAAACTTGAATTGCTACCTGGAACTAATTTGTTTGCCTGCACAACATAAAGAGCTGTTATTTAAATGAGGTTTGGGGTGACACAAGCAGGAAAATTGACCTGAGGGGTTGTTTCTAAAGCCTTCAAGTGTTCTGAATACTGGAAATTCACAAGTGTGTGTTTTAGTATCATGGGTGCCTGCACCTCTAAAATATAGCTGTTTTTGAGTCTCAGGGGGAATCATAACTCAAACACGGTTCAGTTTCATGCTGTTAGAAGTTATTTCAAATTGTGTTAATGATATGTTAAAGAGAATATTATTTTAGACGGTATCTTAAGGTGTGTGTGAAAAACTTTACAGCACACTAATAGCCGAACTTTTGTTTACAAGAAAACTCAACAGGGCCCCTTTAAGTTTTTAATTTAAACAAAAAAGTAAGAACAAATTATCCTGCTGTTATTATGAATTTATTACTGAGATGTTCTGCTTTCATTATTACCTAGAAATGTTTACACCTATTGTAACCCCCCCTGTTTATGCCTCATTCTTATTCTAAACTTACCACTGGTCTTAAAATATTACCAGACTATTGCCTCTGTAATTGTCATGGTATTACCATGTTTTCCCCAATATATCACATATCACTCCTTTATTACCGTGTTTGAGCTGTAATGTAAAATGTTACTAGGTAATATTAGTAAACTTTATTTACACAGTACCTTTCAGAACAATGTTACACAGCGCTTTATGGAGGAAAACAAACATTTAAAGAAATCCACAGCTTCATTAAGAAAGGAGCCATTAAAACACTTTGAATAAAACTGGTTAAAAATAAATTAACAGCAACAAAATAAACAAATAAAACACATATTAAAAAAGCACAAACAATGTAATAAAACAAAGTAGAACAAGAAAAACTAAAACTATGAAAAAAAAGAGCTAATAAAAGATGTTTTTTTTAAAAGCAGCATGCACTGTAAAAGTCTGAACCCCAATACCATCACAGATCAAATTAAATTTAGCTGAAAGACTGAAATACAAATGTTTCCTTATAAGAGAGAGAGGTAAAATAAAGCCATAATGATGTGCTGTATGTATCTCATGGGCTAAAATGCATCTTTAACACTCACACACGCACATTCATCTCTATGCACCGCCATGACAGAGGGGGACTGGTCTCACCTGTCAGCATGATTACCGTCTCCATGGCAACTGTGACACATCCTTCCTAGACCGAAGGATCAGATCAGAACGCTTTTATCATCCACAATGCAAAACACCAAGGGGCCGTTTTGATGAGAAGTCTGAGTGTTTCTTACAAATAAAACCATAAGATGAGAATTTTAGAATGACTTCAGCCTTATCCTTTGTCCTTAAACCGGTGAACCGTTATGCCACACGCAAGGATTTCAACTTAACTTAAATTTGTAATTAGTTGTCGCTCTTGTGTTGCTATTTCTCTTGGGTGTGGTAATAAATTAGCGGCACAAGTTAAAAGCTCTCAGTAGGTCCACTAAGACTGTCATTTTGCACACCAACGTTTTTAGATATTTTGGGATTTTGTGTCGCAGTTTGTTTTTTTTCTTTTCTCCTGATCTGTTCCCTTCTTCTCTACTGACGACGCTGATCTCGTCTTAGTCACTGGTGTTTCATCTGTGTGGTCCTTCCTTCCATAAATATACATGCGTGTGCTTGTGTGTGTCGAATCAAATGAATCACTCGCTGGTTCTGATTTTTTGTTTTGCCACCTACTCCTCCTCCCTTACTGTATCCTCTCTGTCGACTAATCCTCCTTTTATTCCTCTTTCTTGACACGTCTCTTTTTCCGTTCTCTACCTCAAACCTATAATTTTCCTTCTTGTCACATTTATGTTGACGTTCTCACTGCGAGGATACTGTGAGAAGATAGAAGCCTCATAAGAGGGTTGGGTGTGTGTTTGTGTGCATTCAGAGTGTCACATCTTGTCAAAATCTCACAGCACTTCTCCTCCCAGTCGGACTGCAGTGATGAAGTAGTTATGTAAAATCCAACCCCATGATTCTTCTTTCCTCTTGGGCTCAGCTGATATTAAAGGCTGATATTGATATTACTGCATCAAAGTTGCCAATGGGTGTACACTTAGTAATCATGCTGATATATTCCATCACAAGAAAAACTACCCAGGTTATTATTTTAGGCATAATTTGTCACATCCAGTTTCACTTCCTTCTTCTTCACCCTTTCTCCATCAAACTTGTTCTCACCTTCTCAGCTCCTGCACCTGACACCGCTATCACTTCTGCCTTTTTTCCATCTGTCACAACTCCTGTCATCTGTTTCTGTCCCTGATTAGCTTTTCCCCTGGGTTTGTCTCTAATTATCCTTTTCACAGAATTTAGCTTACCCTCTGTCTCTTTATCCTGACCCGTGATAACAGTCTTTTCCTTTCAAAAACCAAAAATCCGAGAGCAAAAGTGCAAGGAGTGGATTTCTATGTGTTTGTCTGCTCTAATGTGGTCTGCACACGTAAGCATGCTAACACAATTTTACTTCCAAGGCCAAAGAGCATTTTCTTAGTTACACTAAAACCTACTGTTTAAAAGTGCAAACACTCACAAGATTAATTTAACCTCTGCCTTGTTTGTCAAAGTGTGTAAGATAAACAGCCAAGGTTCTCTGTTTAAACCAAATTCACTGGAAACATTAAAGGAACTATTTGTAAGTTTTGTTATTGCTAAATAGCCAGTGTTAGCATTAACAGTTGTTAACTTACCAATCTAAAAAGAAACGTCCCTAGTTCAGTATCAAACTTCACTCCTTTACTTGTCAAAAGCTGTCTTCAGTGGTGGAAAGCAACGCCAATGTTAACTCGTCTCCATCACGTCTTTTCCTCTACTGAATTTAGCATGCTAACCAGCTAGTCCCATTCGGTGTCAACACTTTCCAAAAGCAACTCACTGCAGCCTCCAATCTGCCCTGAAGACACAGTGCTGCTCAGAGGGCGTATTATAACCTCTTGTACTATGACGACAACGATGGCCGAAGCTCTTGTCAGATGACAATCACCACCAGCTCCTAGCAAGAAACCATGTTTGGTGGCAGAGAAAACTGTCAACCAACTGAAGCTAACGTTTGTCGTTTTAGCTAGCTAGTTACAGATGATATAATTTACCAGTGACAGTTGTCATTTCAGATGACAAATTGAAGGTTAAAGGTTAGAAATGAGAAGCTGCTTTTGTCTGTGTTAGAAAAATTATGAAGCTTTTAGAGTGGTTAATCTGCCACCATTATCAGTATTACCATTATCATATCATATTTCCTTACCTTTTACATCCTCTGCAGGTCCATCACCAGGGCTTACTACCGTAACTCTGTGGGCGGGCTCCTCCTGTTCGACATCACCAATCGCCGCTCCTTCCAGAACGTCCACGATTGGCTTGAGGAGGCTCGTAGCCACGTCCAACCCCACAGCATCGTCTTCTTACTGGTCGGCCACAAGTGTGACCTGGAGTCACAGCGCCAGGTGTGTAGCTACAGTCTAAAACTAAATTTAAATATGAACACAACAATTTCTTATGAGGCTGCGTTGTGTTAAAATTTGTTGCCGAGGTTAGTGGCCCTTTTAAATGTTACATAATATACAGTTTATCAAAGTCTGCAGTTTTAAAAATAACCTTTTTGTTCACATTTAGATCAGCACACATTTGGATCAGAGGCGAGTCGTCACTGTTTATTTAATTCTCTCTTGGGGCAGCTGGCTGACAGAAAGCAAAAATAACACCACTGAAAATTAGACATTACAGGATTACACTCAATCTGTACAAGACTGTGTCTACAATCGTATTATAAAATGTTGTAAGAGCAAGATTAAAATCAAATAAACCAGGAAATTATGTAAGGTTTCCCATCTTAGCCACTTCATTCTGATGTTGATCTACTCACTCTCACCATTACTGTAGAGGGCTAATTTTCTAGCTGCTTAGCTGGCAACATCTCAAAAATGTAAGTGAAGCTACTCAGTGCAGATGATTTGATGTTTTTGCTCAGTCTTTGTAATAATTTAATGTTGCAAGATAATTTTTATCAACCTCTGAGTGTGCAGCCGGGCTTATTTCAGCCTAATCAAAATGCGGAGACACTATTTAGCAATTTTAGAATAAAATGGACCTATGATTACCATGAAAAAAACTTCAAATATTAATTATTCTGTGCATGTTTCCTCTCAGTTACAGCAGGGTCTCACTTCAAAGGATGTTGCTCAGGAAAATATAAAATGATTTGTTTTGTATTAGGCTGTTGACCGCTTACTCCGTTGCCTGCTCACTCCATTTTTATCTCCACGCTCAATTTACTACTTACTGTCAAAAGTTGCGTGACTATCTTATCTAAAAGTCTATAAATAAAGGAATGCCATGAGTACAAAATCTTAGTAGGGTACGTGCTGGATCACCCTTAATACAATAAAGGGGGTTTGTTGATGTCTATTGGGCTTTATTTGTGACATTTTAATCCAGCACTGATCTTCCCCAGACAAATATTCAAGCAGCTACAACTGGCTTTGTCATGGTGAGCTACTGGAGAAGTAGTAGTCCACAAATCATGGATAAATGTACCAAAAGCATTCCTTTCAAAAACATAATTTATGTTTTGGTGTTATTTCATTGTAACACAGTAAACTATCTGGACTTTAGTCCTAGTGCAGGATCTAAACTAAGTTACACTGCCATAGTTCCTGGCCTTTACGTCTCTAGCAAAGCCATTGTTTAAATCCAAAATCAGATTTTTTAATAATCTTCAGTTATTGAGATGCAGCGATGACGCAAACAGAAACATACCTTAATTGGTTCATTTTGTTTCTTGGTACGATTCATTTGGGGAGATCTTAACACAGCAATTGTACTAAAACAACCACACCAAGACCCTTTAAAAGAAAGTGCTATTGGTCTTGGCACAAACGAATTCTAGAGGTCATCCTCGAATTGACCAAACTAGGAGTCGTGCTCTGCAAGAATGAGCTAAATGGCTCATGTAGGAGCGCTTTGCATACACTCCTTAGTACTTCTTAGCTCCTTAGTTTTTCCTGATGATTTGGATTTAAGATCTCAGAACTTCTGCAATGGTTCACAGAGAGTGCATTGCATCTATTAGTTCCAGTTTCCACATCTCATCTCGTTTGATCTTCTAGGTGACCCGCCAGGAGGCAGAGAAGCTGGCGGGAGCGTACGGGATGCGCTACATTGAGACGTCGGCCCGTGATGCCATCAATGTGGAACACGCCTTCACTGAGCTGACCAGAGACATCTTCGCTTTGGTGCGGTCTGGCGAAATCACAATCCAGGAGGGCTGGGAAGGCGTGAAGAGCGGGTTTGTCCCCAACGTGGTTCATTCCTCCGAGGAAGTGACCAAGAGTGACCGCCGCTGTCTCTGTTGATCTGGAAAGAGTTATGAACGATGGGACTGAAGGTGAAAAGGAGAGGGAAGGATTCAGAGGGGAGTGGCTGACGGACTGAGGTGTCGGCCCTCTAACTGGCAGCCCCCTGTTATTCTTCTTTCAGACTGAACACGGAAGGGGATGTTTGAGGAGTTTCAAGGAAAAGGCTGGTAGAAAACGGCAAAGAACACCTTATACATGGGTGGGTTGTGCCCATTTCTAAATGCGTTTTATTTGTTGGAGAGGAAGGATCACAGATGCTCATTTACTTGCGAGGGCTCCCATGATTCAAATCCTTTAGTTTTGTTATGGGCTTCTTGCCTGAATATCCCTCCCTGACAGTCTTAGAAAGGCCTTAGAAAAGAGGATCCATTTTAGTTTTTCGCCAAAATGAGATGACGCTCTTGATGTGTCGTCTTTCTTTCTCCCATCATCTCTTCCTTCACCTCTCCTCCCACTACTTCTTACCCTTCTCCTCTCCTCCAATATGCAATTACATGATCACATACAAAACGGTCACCTTTACGTTGGTGTCCAACATCCTCCTAGCACATACCATTCAAAACATTTTAGTCAGCACCCTTAGATTAACCCTCCCTTGTTAACAAGAATTGTGTTTCTCTTGTGCTGACATCTTGCTCCACATTCCACTATCAGAGCTCAATGGAGGAGTCCTGGAGGTCCTAGATTTAACAAGGGAAGACAGACTTCCTTCCCGGAGCCTTTATTTTGTTGCCAGAGACCAGATTATTTCTCTGTGGAACAATTTAGGCCTCCAGTGAGCTCAATGACATTGACAATGGTTATATCCACTATCATTCTGCTAAATACCGCACTAAAACATAACACTGTCACCCATCCAGTTCCTAATGGACTCCTTAAGCAGGAAGAGGCAACGTGTACAGCTTAACTGACCGAGGTGGACTTGATGGACTAGCTTAACAACTCCTAATTGCCTGCCATTAACTGGGGACTTGTTAAGGTGGACTAATTGGAATGTTGGAGCCACAAAGCACCTTTATAGCCAAGTCCACCTTAACTGTGGAGCTTCATTTGGGACATTCGAAGGGCGCAAAAAAGGAAACTGGAGATAATTTACTTCTCAAAGGCAAAGCAAACTGAGAGGGACCAGACCACGCAGAGGGAAACTTGATGAACCACATTACCCACAATGCACGCATACGGACAGGACTGTACCACATCATAGTCAAGCAAAGAAGGTCCAATTGGCAGGCATTAAATCCACCCAACACAGATACAGGAACAGGGACATTACAAGGTTAAGTTTTGTTCTGAGAGAGTGGTTTACATGCCTTTTTTATGTGTGTGCGCAAGTGTAATATTGCATCAAATTTTTATTTTCAGTTTAATGCTTTCCAAAGTTACAGATGGATGTAACTGCCAAGATAACCTTGGAGTTTCAGTAGTTAAATCTGCACCGAATCAAGGGAAAACTCTAGTTGTGGTGTCACTGATTGGCTGTAGCACACGTCTCGATTAAAGCTGGTTTAACTTTGGTTTCTACGTTTTTTTTTTAAAAGACCTCTACATTACATAAAGGTGTTTCTAACTAACGATCATTTACATCTTGAAAAATGCCTAGTTTCAACATCATTTCACTGACACTATTTCAAGGTGCAGTCAGTGAGACTGTTGAAACATTGTTATATGTGAACTAGAAAAAACACCTTTCAGCCACATTTAGCCCGGTTTTCACCTAATTTTAACCTAGAAATCCCAAAAATCAGTACTTACTGGGATGTTTGATGGTTTAAACCACAGTTTTCTGCCTGATGTGTGAGTTTACTTTGTAGAGGAATAGTGTGACATATTGGGAAATTTGCGTGTTCGCTTTCTGGTGGAGAGTTAAATGAGAAGATCAACACCCCTCTCATGTCTGTACACTAAATAAGAAGCTACCTCCAGCAGCTGGTTAGCTTAGCTTAGCACAAAGGCTGGAGATAGGGGGAAACACCTTGCCGGGCAACCAGGAAGTTAACTGCGCAGAGCTAAGATGATGAATTGTTCATTTTACACTTCGATGTTTGTACCAATTAAACCAACAAGATATAACATGTTAATTCACGTGCTTTAGAGTTGCCGGTTGGTGAATTCTGTTACCTTTGGACAGAGCCAGGCTAATGGTTTCCCCATGCTTCCAGTCTTTTTGCTAAGCTATGCTAACCAGCTGCTCTTCTCATCTAAGCGTATAAACGAGCATGTTTCCTGTTCCTTTAAAGTGTGCATTTATTATATCGTTACATTAACATCTTTAGCTCAGACCAGTTACTGTTCCTTTAAATGCCAGAAAGAAAACTAAATCTGATTGTGTACCATACTGTGACATTGGCTGGGAGACTGTGGATACGTTGAACAGGAGAGAATGAAAGATGAAAAACATCTACAAAAGGTCAATCAACATCAGCAGCCGACTCGTCTGCTGCTTGTCCAACACCGGTAATCTGCTACATCTTAAGGAATCAACACTGGACCAAATATATTAATCTGTTTACCCTGGCATAAATATTTGGTTGTATTTGCTGTCATTCAATGTTTGAATGAAAGTCATTCAAACATTGCGAAGGAATAGATAGACACTAAGAGCATTGTTAGCAATTAAATGTACCTTAAATTACCTATCACAAATACCTGGATGGCTTAGTGTGCATCTAGATATTTATTGTTTTGCAGAATCCCCATTTTAAGTGTTTGCTCCTCTCTCTCTCTCTCTCTCTCTCTCTCAATATGAAGAAATGCATTTGTCTGATTGAGATACTGTTGTAGTTCTAGGAAGAATACGGTTTGTTTGAAAACCTTTTTAAAACTCTATTTGACTACTAATCTGATCTGCAATCCCACATAACTTGCGCATGTATATTCCTGCTATGATCATAACACCTATTTATTTTTTACATTTATTTATAGTAATAATTACAGTCCTGTAGGGCAGTGAGGATACTGTAAGTGCTTCATTTGCTTACACTGTATGCCTTGTTTTTACATGTTTCCAAAGAGTTTTGTGTGTGTCATTTTATTTTTACATGAATGTATCATATAAGAAATGTGTGAATGTGTGAATTAGAAACATTTCCAGTAAAAGCGACACACCGTTTTCTCCTTAAAAAGCTTTGATGATGAGACTTGAACGGAAATTACTCTAATGATAATCCACCTCCACGGCTATACACGCTGCATTATTCTTTACTGAAGTGTGTGAAATGCTGTTGCTATAGGCAGAAAAGATCGATCTGCAAAAGTTCTCCCAGGAATTAAAAAGGTTCTTCCTGATGCCCTTGTGTTTTTGAGATTCGACAGTGAGGGGCTGGTTTTTCCATTTCTCTGACTTGCTGTATCATCCACAGTGCTTCCTGCTGAAGCACCTTTACATGTTGCCAAGCGGCCGCCGTGGAGTAGACAGTTCAGAGGTGTTAAAGTTTGTGTGGGTGGGTGTGGATGCAGTCTCCTGTGTGTGCAGCTCCTGCTGTCAAGAGTCCTCCAGCAGCTGGTAGATCTGCTACACTGTACAGCACCTAGTCTAATCTTCAAGCTCTGTAATATCTCGCTTCCACTCTGAAATATTGTCTTAAGGAAACACAGTAGTCACATTTTGGGAAACACAAACTTCTTGCTGAGAGTTAAGGTGAGAAGAATGATACCACTCTCATGTCTGTTTGATAAATGTTAAGCTACAACCAGCAGCTGGTTTCCAGACTGGAGACAGTGGCAGTAACAAAACCCACCTACCAGCACCTCTAAAGCTCACTAATAAAGACTTTCTATTTTGTTTGTTTAATCTGTACAAGAGCCATGCAAGCGGTTTCCCCCTTGTTTCCACTCTTTATGCTAAGCTAAGCTAACCAGCTGCTGGTTGTAGCTTCATATTTAGCGTACAAACGTGAGAGTGGTATCAATCTTATTTAACTCTCAGCATTCAAGTGAATAAGTGTAACAGTATTTCCTACAATGTCAAGCTATTCCTTTAAGTAGCTACAATAAAATACAGATTATCTAAAAGGTCATGTTTCGATTTCGATTGTTTTTTTGCGCTCCCTTATTAATTTTTTGTTCTCTGTCAATAATTTTTTTGCATTCCCTTATTACAATCCTTATGCTCACAAACTATACTTTTTGCATTCTCTTTGATTTAAGTTTTCATTAATTAATTTGCAATAGACGATGCAAAAATTAGCAGGTTAATTGATCAGTCAGTCGACAGAGTTAAGTTTAAGTATTTTGATAATCGATCGATCGCCTTTTTTTCTTTCTTTTTTTTTTTAACAAAACTGCCAAAAATCTTCTGGGTTCAGCTTCTCAAATGTGAGGATTTGATGCTTTTCAGTCAATTGAATACCTTTCGGTATTTGACTGTTGGTCGGACAAAACAATCAAACTGAAGACATAATAACATTTTATAACATTTGTAAGCTAAATGATTAATCAAGAAAATAATTGACGGATGAATCGATAATGAAAATATTTGTTTAGTTGCAGCCCTACACCACAGTGCTACTTCACCACAGTAGATGAATTTACTGAATTTTTCTTGTAACGGCCTAAAATTAAAATTAAAATCAAAAAGTGATGCAAAAGAGCACAAAAATAGGAGGGAATAAAAAGGTGTTTTAGCCACTTCAGGGGTTTTGTAGAAAAGATTTTAGACCTCAGCTCTTGATTTCTTATTGTTGCTGTCCGATGAAAACCATGTATCTCCAAATTTGGTGAATTTGGATTTTTCAGATGAACTAAAAGATCAGATATCTTTCATGGGTTGATACAGTTCTCCTCTATTTTCCCAGAATAAATCATTTGAAACCCCACTGGATTGTTACCTCCACCAAAGAGGTTATGTTTCCACTCGTGTCTGTCTGTTTGTTTACGTGTCGGCAGGATTACGTAAAAAGTACTGAACCGATTTGCACCAAACTTGGTGAACAGATGGGGCCTGGGCCAGAGAAGAACCTGATAAATTTTGGTGTATCCAGGAGATTTCTTTATTTTTTTACCACTTACCTCAACATTTTGAGTTGAGAGCATTTCATGTCATGGTGGGGGTATGCATCAAAGCCTAAAGTAGTGTTGTTTTTCTGTTTGTATTTCTTTTTGTTTTGGAGATGCATGGTTTTAAACGACAGCAATGTTGGTTTTCTACACCAAATCTGGGCAAAATTATAATGTTTAAGTTAATGAGAAAATGAAACTATTTCAGTAAACACCTGCAGAAAGCTTGGTTTTGCTTAGCCTTGCCAGCTATTTTCCCTCTTCCAATAGTGTTTGAGTATTTGGCAGGGAGATTAAACCCTTACTATTATACTTTAGCAATTTATTGTTGGTTTGTTGTCAAAAAGAATATTCCCTCTGGTCACAAAACCTAAAATGATAGATCTGTATCGCTTTCCAGAGAAAAGATGTCATCAACCAAAATGCTCTACAACCAACTGAATATTTTTTTTGTGTTGTTTTGTGTTAACAGAATACAACAAGACCAAAACTGACACATAACTTTTTAAGACGGATATATCTAAGTCGGTCTTAATCCTGAAGATACCGAAACGGACACGACTTGGTCACCACTCAGCTGATTCCAGTAAAACATGATTCACTCAGTGTGTGAAATAAGCAGCCTGCAATTAAACACTAAAGATGCCCCACAGAAGCCCGACCAGTTGTTAATGGTCTGGAAGTGGCTGTTAATGTTTTTGGCTTGATACTACAGACTGTGAGTGAAGCGAGTTTCTAGGAAGTCACGTGACATTACTGAACGTGGAAGAAGCATTTTTGGGAGACTTTGCCGTTTTTTCCACACAAGCAGTTTCAGTCTTTTTCTGAACTGAGGCTCGGCTTGGTGCAAATAAAGATGTTCCATTCAGAGATGCTGACAAAGTCGCCTCAGGACCCATGGATGGATCAAGAAAGGGCACTTTGAAGGGAGCTATTGGTACGATTGAAAGCAGTTTCATGTTTGACAGCAAAGCAATCTCCTTTTTGGCCCATTTCCAGAGAACCATACAGGATGATTTACTGGCACTCTGCACCGCTCTCTGCCAGTATCCCTGGCAGTGTTTGGTTTCACTAAGGCTGCTTTCATACAGAAGGCATAGCACTGCTGGACTCCCTTCAACTGTCAGTAAAGTGGTTGCTATCAGCACAGCTGCAACCTCAGACAAGCTGAAAATAGGTCTCTATTATAATTCTGTTATTCTCACTTTGTTACAACTTCATGTTCAGAGGAGTAGTGCAGCATTTTGGGAACTACACTAAGATTAAAAGATCCATAGCACTCTCATCTCACATGTTCAAATCAAATCAAAAATACTTTTTTGTGCTCCCTCATACTTCAAGTAGCTTTAAGCTAGTGTTACTCTTCGCATCGTTGAGCACGCAAAGGCTCTGTGCAGACGTATGTGTACCCTCCAATTTGTTGTGATACCAATCCACTGTCCCTAGTCCAAGTGGACTCCAAATGAGTAAATTAAAACAACTGAGTGTTCATGGTCTCTGTGTTTGTTCGTGGGGATGTATAATTTTAGCTTCCAGTCATTAAGCTAACCAGCTCACTGGCCGTAGCTGTGTAGCTTCATATTTACCACACTGATTAGCCTTGTTTGTGGGTCAAATGCATTAGCATTATCTTTACAATTGAGTCACAGAGCTAAGCATGTGTTTCCCTGAAAGACAATTACCCAGTGATGTTTGAAAAACTAATAAGGGTGTTTAACAAGAGTAACTGCTGCATGATAAAAAACTCGTGCAAGTTTCAGCATTTTTCTTTGGATTGAGAAACACAATTGGCTAAAAATGTTAATGGGCTATTTTATTATTCAGTGAGTGGGAAATTGTTTCATCTGGATGATAAGAAAGTTTTTTTCTGGATTTTGGTAGCATGTCAAGGACAGCAGTAAGTCAGGGTTTTTTTTTAAAACACCACCGGGTTATTATCTTTAACAGAAATGCATGCTTTGCTGTGTGACTCAATTACAATGCTAATGCTAATACATGATAGGCACAAACTGGGGCTGATATAGACAGCAAGTATGAAGGTACAGCTGGTTAGCTTAGCTTACTTACAGCAGCTCTAAAGCTAATTAATCAAGACAAAACCCCAGGATATAAACCAAGAAACAAACTGGAACATAACACAGAAAACGTGTTGCTTTTACTCTTTGGTTTTTGTACAGATTAAGCAAACAATAAAACATGTTAATGAATGAGTTTTAGGTCGATTTTGTGAGTTGAGATGTTTGGCAAGTTGTATCTTATTTTTCATCTAACTTATGAAGACATTATTCACAATACACATAGAGGTTTCCCCCTTGTTTCCACTCCTTATGCAATACAATACATACAATATTCCTTTAAGCTTTAGCATCCATTTGCAATTTTTGCCATGAATAATGCCCCTATATATTTTTTTAAGAAAATGTATCTGAAATGGATGTTGAATTAATCCCTGCCTACTGCCAAATTTTGGTGGAATTTCTGGCTGTGTCCGAGGAGCTTGTCTACCAGCCATGATCATTTTGAACTCTAATTTTATTCTAATAAGCTAATAAGTTAAAACTGGAGCTATAACTGACATGTTGGTGACACCTCAAGACTTTTCCACACATTATTTGACAGAACAGTCAACTTTTTTCTACCTTTCCACTCTGATGTGTAACATGTCATCAATGTGTCAGTCCTGTATTCAAAAGCATGTATCTGTAGGTTAACAATAGCTATTTCCTGCCCTCAGTGTAATAACAAATAAAATGTGACTGGAAAAATAAGCATATTCTCCTATTTTTTTTTTTAACACAAGGTGGTTGCCTTTTTCATTTTAGGCTGCTATTTCTGAAACTTGGGAATATTAAGACTAGTTGATAATTATGGGACACAAAAACCTACATTTGCAACAAATCTATCCACCAAATTTAAATCTCTAAAAAAAACCCAAAACCAATCCTGTCCCCAGCACACGATTCTTTTCAGTGTGTACACTTGGGTAAAGTCACCAGCTGTACTTGTATTTTACTTGAGTATTTCCATATTATACTTTATACTTCTGCTGCGCTATGTTTCAGCGGACAGTATTGTAATTCGACACGTGTTCAAATTATCCAGCATTTCACAAAGATTAGAGAAAAGTCTAAAAACTGAAAACAGATGTGTATCTTCTTCTGTCCTCTCCCATTAGTTATCAATAAACGCGCTCAGATTAATCTTATAACCACACAATGCACAAAGGGCAATAGTTGAGGGCTATAGGGGTCAGTACAGCCCCTTAACAGTTTAAACTGTCCATGCATCCATAAAAATAAAGCTGCTTTGCCTAAAGGACCAGTAGGCTTCAGTAATTTCAGAATAAGCTTGTAAGATGCTGACTTCAGGGAAAGAGGTCAGTGTACTGTGGTGGAGGTGAACATTCAACATGAAGTTAAGGTACTTAGAAACCTTAACTTGAATCAAAACTCATACTCTTCGGAGTAATAAGACATAATGTGGATAAAAGTCCATAAATCTACTTGAGAAATGACCATGCTTTTGGATTTTCCCTCAGTATCAAAATAATCCAGTGATTGTTTTCTGTACTGTAAAGTGAGTGCATTGCAAACAGTAGCTGCCATTAGCAAATTTGGCATGCTAGTGATGGTAGTTTTCAAAAATGTTCACAGCTGAAAAAGCTGTAAGTAAAACAAATAATGATACTAGAAGAGACTAAGTCCATTCATATTGGTCCGGCACAGTGTTTTTAAAAGTACTGTATGCTGTGCTGTAATTCCACATATTACCACTGGGTGGAAGCACTGAGGACACTGAACAGTACAGGTCTGACAACCTGTCAGCTGATATGCTCAAAATTACAGTCATAGTAGTAGCCTTCCTGACAGGCTACTACTACAACTACGACAATATCAATTAGGCCTTACAATGTTTCCTCCACTAATTTATCCAAAAGGTTGAAGCTGGAAAAATACATTATGAATGAAAGTGGTTACATTTTTCAGGGGGGATGGGGAAAAGCTATAAACCAAGTTCCAGGAGAAAGTACAAGAGGGATGGAGTCAGTAAGACAATCAACATTTCAGCAACATGTGACACAGTTACATGTAAAATTCGGTTCACGTCAACTGTTTCAGTGGAAATAAAAACTTCTTAGGATTCATTATATGGAGCACCACAAGTGTAAGGCAAAAATACCATTACCAAATACATTTTCTGGACAGTAATTGAATATCTTCAAGTTGTGGACAATTAGTGGAACCCAACACAAGCAAACTGGAGACATCACCCTGGCTTCTGAGGAAATGTGAAACCCATTTTTCTTGTTTTGTCTTTAACATTTAGGATGAAATATATACATACATTTTTTCATTTTTTTTTGTGGATTAATTAATAAATTTGTAAAATCTTGTTAATTCCTGGTTTTATATTCTAAATGAAGGTCAATTAATGAATGTTTTAAAACTATTTCCATGACACTTGTGGTCAAAAGGCTGAAAAGGAATGACCCATACACAGGGACCTTGTTGTGTCCACAGTCTGCCTTTAGCTTGTTTGTTTATTGTGCTTCTTTTTGAGTTTTTTTTTTCTTTTCTTTTTTTTAAACTTATGTCCAATTTCATGTTTTTTTTCCTACCTTTTATTTATTGTGCTCTCTCAGTGTTGCTTTGCTCTGCGTGGCACTTTGTTACCTGCAGGTACTTGACTCCAAACATCTTTTCTACCTTACCTCTCATAACTTCTCTTCAGAAAATAAACAACACACAGAGCACCAGGTCAAGGTCTTATCTCTTTGCCCAAATGTTCTTCTTTTACTTCATTCATTGTTTAATGAGTACAGTGAGAGACAAATAAATACAGACAGAATAGCGGCAAAAAGGAGGAGGTGGAGAAGTAGAGGAAGAGATGATCGAGGGTGGAAAGTCGAGGGACGGAGGAGGAAAACAGTGGATCCTTCTGAACTCCTAAAAGTCCTGAAATGATAACCAGAGCCACAAGGCAGAACTAGTTTTATTCTGTATTACTCTTCTGCAGAGATCTTTTGTCATCCTACATACCAGGCTCTATGGAGTATAATGGCAACTGTGTTTTTACTAACTCAAGTAAAAGTCCCACGTGAATGTTGTTGCAGGCTGAGAAAAAACAGATGTGTCAGGTCCGTAAGGAGGAAAACTGCAGGGAGGAAAAGACGATGCGAGAGAACCCTCGTAGTCTGCCAAAAAAAAAAACAACTGGAACATACTGAAATCATTAAAAAGAATACAAAAATTGCCTCGTTGCCTTTGTTTTTTGTTAGTTTTTACTTGAAAAAATACTTTAAAAAGTAACAAATCAACAGAGAACAGTAGTGGTGGAAGGTCTGAGCTTGACTTGACAGAGGACATATTTGAAAATCCAACAAAGAATTAAGATCGCGCTTGATTTAGCCGGCTTCATGTATGGCACCTGCACATCTCCTTAACAATCTCAATGAGTTAAATCAAGCGCACTACGACTTTTGGAAATATTTCAAACATGTCTTCTATCTGTCAAGCACTGGGGTGAACATACACATGACTTGGGAGACGGGGGTCTGTTTTTTGTTATTGACTAAAGAGATGATAGTTAGCATAAGGGGATTTGGACACTGTGTCGTCGATATTAAGACTTGTCTGCTGATTTGAGGAGGTTTTCTTTGCTCCTTCTCTTCACGTCCCAGTTGTAGACTCGTGCCATGTCTGAGGAGAGCGGTGAGTTAAGGAACAACAGCGGCAGAAGGATTACTTGTACTAAGAGCATGTTGTTGAAATAGCCAGTACGACCACTTGTACTCTGACAAACTGTTTGATAATGCTCTCAGATCTAACCCATTCATACAAGTACAGAATCAAGAATTTAGCCAGCAGATGTCACCATTCTTGTCTTATCAGCCAAACCTGGGTGGACCATTCAGTGGAAGGATACTGACTTCGACGGTGGTGAACTGGTCTCGCAGGAAATCCAGATCGTCCACGAGTGTCTCTAGGTTACGAGATGCGGTGGACAGGTTCTTCTCTAGGAGAGCCTGGGCTTCATCGATGTCATACTCTAACATGACGTTGGCCTTTGAGGGGGGAAATGTTGGGGGTGGCGAGGAATGAAATGATGACATAAAGAGAACTGAAGTTATGGCCTCGCCACGACAGCACTTGACTTGTATAGAAACTGGTCAGTTTAAAGCTTCTGAGTTGATTTGTTCAAAATGAGGTAAAGATGACAACCGTCTTATCCAGACACCTCTCCAGAGCATTACATCACTTCATTAATCATCCTTAGCTTTTCTGTTGCAGAAGTGAAGTAACAGTAACTTTATAACGTCTCATGTTGTTGTTTTATCTCTGAGACGAGGTTTTGTGATGAAAGACTATGCAACGCTAGATAAACCTGACTTTAATCTAAACTTTACTTACCCCTAACCATAGGCAGACTTTGTCGGTGGGCGGCACTGAGGCCTTGCAGTAAACATTGTCAGCCAATAGGAAGTGTGTCTCCATGGGCTCTGTGGTTTCCTGGGGAAACAAAAAGTGTGGCGCACTCACAATTAAGTCCTGTTCTTTAACCTAACATGATCTGTAGACAATTTCTGAGTAAGCAGCAGCTCAACAGCCACAACAACCTCACACATAAACAACTGTTTTTGCTATTTAAGAATTTATATGACAAGATTTAAGAGCTATTCATTTATATGTAATTTAATTATTCAACTAGATGTTTTTTTTGTTAAACAGGTATATTAAAAGTCAAGGATGTTGTTTTAGCTTGTACAATTTTGTCTTAAGCACTCAGAGATGTTACTGTCTTGAATATAATTCTTTCTGTGGATCAACCTAAAAATTAATGAGTTTTCTTTGTTGTTGTCATTTTTATAATTCAGACACGTGTATATCTGCTGCACCGGCATCTTAAAGCATGATTATACTAATGTTTAGTACAACTACCAGCCAGGCAAAATTCAAAATCCATTTGTAAAAAAACAAACAAAAAATGATTACAGTACATAACATTTGAAAGATAGTCCACAAAAACCTCACACACCTTCTTCTTCTGCATGTGTCGAAGGATTTCTAGCGTCTGTGTGATTTGTGGGATCTGGTTTTTCAACCTAAATATCGAGAGAAATTAGGAGATTTAGTCAAGACAGGAGAGCAACCAGAAATTCATTACACTGTTATGTAGCTGAATGGAATGTGGATGTTAAGACTGATTATATGTGTGCTTGAGAGTGTGTTTCAGTTACCTGAGTTTCTTCTGAGACAGGTTGAGCTCCATGTATTTGTATTTCTGGTACTGTTCGTCCAGCCTCCTCAGCGCCGAGTCTGCCGTCTCGTTGCCAGGCTGCTTCATAAAAGAGTCGACATCCTCCTGAAAAATCCAACGGACAGTGCAAACAGTGAGCCAAGATATTACACTAAATTATGAAGCATACAACACTCAATGTAAAACATTAAGGCTCCCTCCAAGCTTGTTTGTAAAGAGTTATGACGAAGATATATCCTGAACAAGATGGAGAGAACTTCATTAATTCCAAAAGGAAATTGTAGTGTTGCAGCAGGCACTTCACATAAATCACAAAAACAATGCAGTAGGTAACAAACAATAAAATTACAGACTAAATTGTATGCAATAACTTTATAGAATACATAAAGTATAAATATACATTGAAAAAAATAGAGACTAAAGATCCATGGCTATACTGATGTAGATATTAATACTTTTTGGTGCAACATATTATAGTAAATTAAATATGTTCAGGTTTTGGACTGTTGGTTGGATAAAGAATAACTGAAGACAGGTTTCCACATTTTTGGACAGAAAATATCTGAAAATAATAAGATTCTGCCATAATGATGATAATTTCATGACTTTTTGGGTTCTTTGTCAACTAAGAAGAGACCTGACAGCCAACATGTGCCTGTTTAAATGTTTATATGTGTTCCCTTTAGGTATAAACCACAGTCTGTATTAATTCCCTTATCAATTATGTGATTAATGGTGAACTTAATCCTGTATTTAGAGATGTGCTGGGTCTTTTACAGTTATTTTACAACGAGAAAATGATTGAAGGAGACTGTGGGCAGCTAACGCTACTTTAAATGTCACCAACAGATTCAGAGGCAAAGTGGCTGCTAGTTGATGTGTAGCGGGCTAAAATATGTTCAATAAATAGTGAAATATGTTGAAATAAGAAGCAGCTGGAGCACCGGCGGTCTGTAATGTCCATAGAAGGAGATGAGCAGCCGCCCAGCCTGCACACATACACCAGGATTAACTGTTAGCTAGCAGCTAGCATGACGCGCCCACACACCGGCTACAGCCACAAAAGGTGCGTTTCCAGCTGCCTAATCCCGCTGTAAACATCTGACACGGTGAGAGATGTCGGGGTTTACGCACCACAAACGCCGCTTCAGGGATGCCGAGGTGCTTTTTCTTTGTCGCCTGTACGGCATTGCTGTTGTCTATGGTCGCTGCCATCTTGGAGAGAGGCTGCTCCTTCCTTCCTCACGCGCAAGTTCGAGCGTCTGAAGAAGAGAGCGGAGGCTCTGCTGCCCCCAGCGGCCACAGGCTGCAACTGCTGCCGGTACAACTGCTGCAAACCTGCATACTGTAAACGTCTTGTATAACTCCCTCTAGTTTCTTTTTAAGTGTGTTCCAGTGTGTAAATTATTTTTTAGATTTTATTTAACTTTAACTCATAGTTATCTACTCATGGGTTTTGGAGTTTTCAAGTAAAACCTTTCTGTGCCGAGCTGAGGTTTTGTCTGTCTGTGTTCGTCTTTCAGGATGACAGAAAGATTTCATTACAGAATTTTCTAATTTTTTGTAATAGGTCTCTGATCCTTACACTAACATAGACATACACACTGAAGAAGCTGTTTCCACACTGACACTTTGGATGACCTCCCAGTGAAGATCTTACCACTGAAGGTCTCTGTGACTGTGGGACAGAGCAGCTAGAGATAAAAGAGGATGATATATTTATAATGATATTTGTTTCTTAAAGGCAAAAGTCACAAACTGCACATATCCTCCTGCTGTCTCATCATTTCATGTTTATTTTATTTTTATTTCTCAGTTTTGATTGACAATTATTTGACAATGAATTTTTTCTTTCAATTGTCGACCTTTTCACATGTGTAAAAATGTATTCACTCACTTTCTGATCTTTATGTCTGGTTTGTTTAGACATTTTATTTTCATCTACATCACGTCTTTCTAAATCATTAAGTTTTTTTTATTTCATTGCATTTATCAACAACTGCATGTTTGAACAGCTGATCATTGTTCAGATTCAACAAACTTTATGTTAAATTCATGAAGTTATTCATGTATGAAATATTCAAAATATATTGAATCTATATATAACAAAAGGTGCGTTTCCAGCTGCCTAATTCCGCTGAAAACATCTGGGTTTACGCACCACAAACGCCGCTTCAGGGATCCCAAGGTGTTTTTTCTTTGTCGCCTGCATTGCTGTCGTCTATGGTCGCCGCCATCTTGGAACAAGGCTTAGTAATGATAGATAATACAAAAGCAAATAGGGACAAATAAAATAAAGAAAACAGACATAGCAAAAAAAATGTGGAACAGAAAAAAATCAGACATTAATAATCAGGACCAGAATATCGGGATGTATCTTCATGATACTGAGTTCACTTTAGAGAAAAAGAAGAGAAAAATTAAACAAATAAACGACGTCATTATAGGCCATCATAAATAATTTCATCATTTTATGTCATAAGTAAAGTATTTCTGGTGTTAGACACTTTTATTTCAAGATTTTGGACTAGAGTGAACATAGGAAACCCCTCTGATGGGGATTCTTCCACACACATAATCAAGAAAAAAAACTTTAAAACTAGAAACTTAATTAAACAAAATATCTCAACCTCATCTTTCACCTTAACTGTAATAAAATGCTGTAAATACTTTGGTTTCCATTTATTAACTGCTCAGTATACTGAAGAATATTTTGAAAATAGTTATTATTCAAAAAATTAGTCCATCACCAGTTTCTGAAAATTCTTTAATGAAAAAAAGCAGATATTGGAGGTTATATAACTGCATGTTAAATATATTCAGTAACTCTGTAGCCCCTCATGCTCCATTGTTCCCCTTTCCTGAAATCTTCCATTTTATTTTACTTAGTTATAGTGAAACTGCTCCCCCTGCGTTCAACCTATAACTCCATTTGAACTTATATCAGTCAGTATTTCAAAGTCCACACCTCACCTGACTCTGACACCTGAGACAAACCGCTAAATAGTCTGTTTCGCTTCCGCACTGAAGAGAGACACAGAGACTGACTGCACTTTCTGTCTGCTGTGTTTTCAGCTTCGCTCAGAGACTCAATGGCTTCCAGATCAGATGAGGATCTCTGCTGTCCCGTCTGTCATGACGTCTTCAGAGACCCTGTTCTTCTGTCATGTAGCCACAGCTTCTGCAAAGACTGTCTGAAGAGCTGGTGGAGAGAGAAACAAACACGAGAGTGTCCAGTTTGTAAGAGAAGAGCTTCAAAGTTTGAACCACCTTGTAACTTGGCTTTGAAGAACCTGTGTGAGGCCTTCTTACAGGAGCGGGATCAGAAAGCCTCAGAGGCGCTCTGCAGTCTGCACTCTGAGCAACTCAAACTCTTCTGTCTGGACCATCAGCAGCCGGTGTGTCTCATCTGCAGAGATTCAGAAAAACACACCAAACACAGATTCAGACCCATCGGTGAATCTGCACGACAACACAAGAAAGAACTTCAGAAAACTCTGGAGCTCTTGAGGGAGAAGTTAAAAAGTGGCAAACAAGTTAAGGTGAGGATTGATGAAACAACAGAACACATTAAGATCCAGGCCCGACATTCAGAGAGGCAGATAAAGGAGCAGTTTAAGAAGCTTCACCAGTTTCTAGATGAGGAAGAGGAGGTAAGGATGGCTGCACTCAGGGAGGAAGAGGAGCTGAAGAGTCGTATGATGAAGGAGAAGATGGAGGCTCTCAGCAGAGAGATAGCAGATCTTTCACACACAGTCAGAGCCACGGAGGAGGAGCTGAGAGCTGAAGATGTCTCATTCCTGTACAACTACAAGGCAACAGTAGAAAGAGTCCAGCAGCGCCTCCTGCTGGATGATCTACAGTCGTGCTCAGGGGATCTGATAGACGAGGCCAAACACCTGGGCAACCTGACCTTCAACATCTGGAACAAGATGAAGGACATGGTCTCCTACAGTCCTGTGGTTCTGGACCCAAACACTGCTCACCGAGAACTTGTCCTGTCTGAAGATCTGACCTGTGTGAGACTAGGAGAGGAGCTGCAGCAGATCCCTGACCATCCACAGAGGTTTGATCATTACCGCATTGTCCTGAGCTCTGAGGGCTTTAACTCAGGCACTCACAGCTGGGCTGTCGAGGTTGGGGACAGTGCACACTGGACACTGGGTGTGACAACAGAGTCTGTCCAGAGGAAGAGAGTCACAGAGTCTGGATTATGGAGAATAGGGTTCTACAGAGGGAGATATTCACAGTGGTCACCACCAGCTCCAGTCACTGCTCTTTCAGTGCAGAAGAAGATCCAGAAGGTCAGAATTAATCTGGACTGGAGCAGAGGAAAGCTTTCATTCTCTGATCCTGACACTAACACACACATACACCTTCATTTCCTAACGATACATCAGTACTGAATGCACTAGTACACACATGTAGGTACAAGGGCAGAAAATATGAAGTCAGAGAATAAAGGGTTAATGATCTGGGAACTGTTAGAAACACCTCATTACCTCATTGAACTAAACATATTATCCTCTTATCTCTAGCTGCTCGTGCCCACAGTCACAGAGCCCTCAGTGGTAAGATCTCACTGGGAGGTCATCCAAAGTGTCAAAGTATGGAAACAGAATCTCAGTGAAAGTGTGTGTGAAGTGGTGTATGTGTGTGTTAGTGTCAGGATCAGAGAATGAAAGCTTTCCTCTGCTCCAGTCCAGATTAATTCTGACCTTCTGGATCTTCTTCTGCACTGAAAGAGCAGTGACTGGAGCTGGTGGTGACACTGTGAATATCTCCCTCTGTAGAACCCTAATTCTCCATAATCCAGACTCTGTGACTCTCTTCCTCTGACCAGACTCTGTTGTCACACCAGTGTCCAGTGTGCACTGTCCCCAACCTCGACAGCCCAGCTGTGAGTGCCTGAGTTAAAGCCCTCAGAGCTCAGGACAATGCGGTAAATGATCAAACCTCTGTGTGATGGTCAGGGAGCTGCTGCAGCTCCTCTCCTAGTCTCACACAGGTCAGATCTTCAACAGGACAAGTTCTCGTGAGCAGTGTTTAGGGTCCAAAACCACAAGGACTGTAGGAGACCATGTCCTTCATCTTGTTCCAGATGTTGAAGGTCCAGGTTGCCCAGGTGTTTGGGCCTCGTCTATTCAGATCCCCTGAGCACGACTGTAGATCATCCAGCAGGAGGCGCTGCTGGACTCTTTCTACTGTTGCCTTGTAGTTTGTACAGGAATGAGACATCTTCAGCTCTCAGCTCCTCCTCCGTGGCTCTGACTGTGTGTGAAAGATTCTGCTATCTCTCTGCTGAGAGCCTCCATCTTCTCCTTCATCATAACGACTCTTCAGCTCTCTTCCTCCCTGAGTGCAGCCATCCTTACCGTCCTTTCCTCATCTAGAAACTGGTGAAGCTTCTTAAACTGCTCCTTTATCTGCCTCTCTGAATGTCGGGCCTGGATCTTTAATGTGTTCTGTTGTTTCATCAATCCTCACCTAACTTGTTTGCCAACTTTTTAACCTTCTCCCTCAAGAGCTCCAGAGTTTTCTGAATTCTTTTCTTGTGTTGTCGTGCAGATTCCACCAGATGGGTCTGAATCTGTGTTTGGTGTGTTTTTCTGAATCTCTGCAGATGAGACACACGGCTGCTGATGGTCCAGACAGAAGAGTTTGAGTTGCTCAGAGGCAGACTGCAAGAGCGCCTCTGAGGCTTTCTGATCCCGCTCCTGTAAGAAGGCCTCACACAGGTCTTTCAAGCCAAGTTACAAGGTGGTTCAAACTTTGAGCTCTTCTCTTACAAACTGGACACTCTCGTGTTTTGTTTCTCTCTCCACCAGCTCTTCAGACGAGTCTTTGCAGAAGCTGTGGCTACATGAAGAAAGAACAGGGTCTCTGAAGACGTCATGACAGACGGGACAGCAGAGATCCTCATCTGATCTGGAAGCCATTGAGTCTCTGAGCGAAGCTGAAAACACAGCAGACAGAAAGTGCAGTCAGTCTCTGTGTCTCTCTTCAGTGCGGAAGCGAAACAGACTATTTTAGCGGTTTTGTCTCAGGTGTCAGAGTCAGGTGAGGTGTGGACTTTGAAATACTGACTGATATAAGTTCAAATGGAGTTATAGGTTGAACGCAGGGGGAGCAGTTTCACTATAACTAAGTAATAAAATGGAAGATTCAGGAAAAGGGAACAATGGACATGAGCGGCTACGGTTTACTGAATATATTAACTGCGTTTTACTAACTCCAATTTGCTTTTTTTCATTAAAGAATTTTCAGAAAGCTTGTGTGATAGGACTAAATTTTTGAAATAATAACTATATTTTCAAAAATATTCTCAGTGATACTGAGCAGTTAATAAATGGATAACCAAAGTATTTTACAGCATTGTTATTACAGTTAGGTTGAAAGATGGGTTGAGATATTTTGGTTTAAATTAAGTTTCTAGTTTCTAAAGTCTTTTTTCTTGATTAGTAATATAATGTGTGTGGAAAGAGATCCCATTCAGAGGGGTTCCTATGTTCACTCTAAGTCCAAAAATCTTGAAATAAAGTGTTCTAACACAGAAATACTTTACTTATGACATAAAAATGATGAAATTATTGTATGAATGTATAATGAGGTTGTCGTTATATTTGGTTTAATTTTTCTCTTCTTTTTGTCTAAAGTGAACTCAGTATCATGAAGATAATCCGCGATATTCTGGTCCTGATTATTTAATGTCTGATGTTTTTCTGTTCCACATTTTTTTTGGGCTATGTCTGTTTTCTTGTATTTTATTTGTCCCTATTTGGCTTTGTTATTATCCTATCTTACTAAGCCTGTTCAAGATGGCGGCGACCAATAGACGACAGCAATGGCAGAGCGACAAAGAAAAAAACACCTTGGGATCACCTGGAAGCGGCGTTTTGTCGGTGCGTAAACCAGATGTTTTCAGCGGATAATTAGGCAGCTGGAAACGCAACCTTTTGTTTATGTATAGATTCAATATATTTTAAATTTCATACATGAATAACTTCAATGAATTTACATAAAGTTTTGTTGAATCTGAACAATGATGCTGTTCAACATGCAGTTGTTGATAAATGCAAATGAAATAAAAAAAACTTAATGATTTAGAAAGACGTGATGTAGATGAAATAAAAATGTCTAAACAAACCAGACATAAAGATCAGAAAGTGAGTGAATACATTTTTACACATGTGAAAAGGTCGACAATTGAAAGAAAAAATTCATTGTCAAATAATTGTCAATCAAAACTGAGAAATAAAAAAAAATAAACATGAAATGAAAGACAGCAGGAGGATATGTGCAGTTTGTGACTTTTGCCTTTAAGAAACAAAATCATTATAAATATATCATCCTCTTTTATCTCTAGCTGTCTCCCGTTCGACGCGAGAGCTTCAGTGGTAAGATCTCATCACAGACAGATCTGTCCTCTGTTTAATTGTGATACAAGATCTTCACTTAGGAGGGCGAGAGTCATTCCTCTCTCAGATTATAAAGTTAGATCTAGTGTGTATGTGTAAGCCAGCTTGCACTCCTTCAGTGTTGCTACTGACGTAAGGGCTCCTAAGATGATATGTAAGGTATGCTCCATTAAGCAAGTTTTAAGGACCTGCTATCCTAATCCATGACGGCAAAATTCCAATGATACTTTTCCAAATCTTTAGCCTAGTCATCCTGCCATTAGTAGAGCACAGAGCAGTACAAGATATACTTGTCTTTTATATACATAAATTTAGTGGATAATGTCAAACTATACAGCGAGCCCAAATACATAAAGCAGGGGGAATTGAGGAAGTAATTACAAAAATTGACTTCCTGGGGATTAACATGGCATGTTTAACTGGTAGCCGTGCGGGATCGTATGACCCCGCGCGGCACGTCCCCAGCCCATCAAACACTTAACACATTAAGCATCGGGCAGGCGTCTTCTGCTTTCCTTATTACACACGTCCTATTATTAATCCTCGTTTATGTTGAAAAAAGTTAATCATATATTTGAACATAGAGTATGAACTATATAAGTTATCCGAGTGTGTTAAATTAGAACACATAGATAATTATTACTAGTAATAATTTGACACATGCTGAACTACAATAGCATATATACTAGGAACCAAAGAACGCGATGAGTGTGTAGCTAACATAACGACGTGAAACAATGATAGCTACAGCATCCTATGAGCAGCGCATTTCGCCCGCGTAGCTGTCAGCTCTACGATGTTATTATTAATTACCGTGTCATTTTATTCAAGCGTCCGCTTCTAGCCTGTGGCCGCTTGGGATCAATAAGTAATTAATTTCGCAGCACGTAGCGTTGAGCGCCGCACATAACTGTCTTCTCAGACCATATACAGTGTCTCGAACTTATAGTCGTTCGCTCCTGCCTCTGTCTGTTCTGTATATATGGAGTATGTATCGCGTAAACTCTCTCCACATTTAAATTATGAGCAAGAGCAGGGAGCGAAAAGCGCAGATAGATATTCGAATCTACGTCCTGCTCCGTACAGTCGGATCGTTCACTTAGAAGAAAGGAAGCACCTGCTGTTGTGTCTCTCGAGTTCCTGTTAAGCTGTCGCGTTTAGTGTCTTACGTGCATAGTGGGACAACTCTCATACTGATATATACCTCTCTGTTTTGACTATGCTGCTCAACGCGTCGTCACGAAGGCAATCAGATGGTAGTTGGAGTAGCAACTTCTGGAATTAGGTTATCTAATGGTCACTCGAGTAAAACGTTGACATCGTTTATGATGCTGTAGCCGGGTGTGTGAGCGAGTTTCTTCACGTTTTCTGTTTCTCTTTGCTTAGTCCTAGTGCTGTGACTCTAAACAGTTAGATCCATGACTTTTCCTATTTCTTTGGGTGTCTGTTATGCTACGTGGCAGGGCTCCTGTGGCGGTTGCAAAGTCAACGTGGTCTCTACTATACATTTACACAACAGCTTGCTTTAAAGGAGAAGATATCTCTTCATTAGATCTCCAATTTAACGATTGGCCGTGTGCCTCTACAACTTTCTACAGCATTCGACATTTCACCATGGAAAACTTAATCTCATTTCGAACTAGCATTATTTCTACTATTTGACCATGCTGACGCATCTTTCAGATTTTATAAAAAAAGCCTCGATCTCCTAACACCTAGCTCAAACTGAGCTAGTCACTCATCTTTCTGTTCTAGTCACATTAGACCTGTATTGTCTAGTTGACGACAGCAGTTAACGACTACTTAGTAACAGAGAGGTGAGACCGATTCTAGACTAGCTTCCCAACAGTCTCCATTAACTTCAATCATTTCTCAGTTCAATGCGAAACAATATGTAACTGTAAAAGACACACACATCTCTCTCTATAGACGAGAGCTTATAGTTCAGCAAAACTATTTGCAATAATCTAGATAAAACAGAGCGAATTTCATGAAATATATCAGACCTCGTCGGGTTTTTCTTCCTTGTATAGCACACTATGTTAACGGAACACATGTGAAAGATTAG